TCCTCCTTCTCCTCCTTCTCCTCCTTCTCCTCCTTCTCCTCCTTCTCCTCCTTCTCCTCCTTCTCCTCCTTCTTCTTTCTTCTTTTCTTTCTTTGCTGCTGCCCGTTGTGGCCGACCACTGCAGCACTGCCCGTCACTTTCTTTCCCAGTACCAGTTGAGAATCACTGCCCTTGTTGTATGTCACATTTCTTCCACTCCATCACGGGTGGATGACTACTGCATTGGAACCAGTGGACGAGCAAGTTACTGTCTGATCTGATTATCACATACCGCATTGCATTCCCCATAACACCATCAGGTTTGTCAAATGTTAAAAAAAAAATCAAAGAAACAGACAAACAAGCAAACAAACAAGCACACAAACAAACCATGCCATACCACATCGCGCCACACCACTCATACGCCTCCCAGGTGAACGATTATGGCAGTGAGCAGCAGTGGAAGAACAAGTCACTGTGATTCTTTGAATGACACCACCCCACCGCACCAAACTCCACCGCATCACACCCCACTGCACATACCCTATCAGGTCAAGGACTACGGCAGCGAGCAGCAGTGGAAGAGCAAGTCAATGTCTGGTTACTTGACCCTTACTGCATTCCAAAGTAACACTACCGCACCGCATCACATCATAACCAATCGCACCGCACCGTACCGCACACCACACCCCAACAGGTGGACGACTACGGCAGCGAGCAGCAGTGGAAGAGGAGGCGGCAGATGGCTCTCATGGAGAAGCGGAGAAACAGCCTGGAACCTTCCTTTGTTCAGGTATTCTTTCCGGGCCGGTGAAAGCGTCGGTTCTTCTTCATGGTATCTCCCTTCCTGATTTTTCAGTCGACTCAAAAGTCAGCGGCGCTTCTTATTCGTGGTATCTCCCTTCGCTCAAGCACTGCCCAGGGGGATCAGGGAAGTCATGGTTTCTTTTTTTAATTCGGCTCAAGACATGAGCTCTCGAGTTAGCGAGTCAGTTCTGTGACTTTTGTGTTACCACTGCCGTTTCGTGCAGCCATGGTATGATATGATGCATCCGTGGTTTTTTTTTAGTCCGTCCGCCCCTGCCGCTCCTCCCTTGCAATCTGACAAACTTCAACACCTGCAAATTCCTCCCGCTGCTGTTTCAAGAAGCTCTCGCCCACCACTTGTTTCGCTCCCACTCGCCCTTTGTGCAACGCTCCATGGAGCAGTGTACTGGTGAGGGCGTGGAGTTGCCACTCATTGGACTTCCGTTCCCCAGCCACATTCCCCTCGTGACTTTTGAGTCACCTGGACTCAAAAGTCACCTGGAGTTGCCACTCATTGGATTGGTTTTCCGTTCCCCAACCACATTCCCCTCCCTCTGCCACACAGGAAGCTCTCGCCCACCACTCCTTCGCCTCACACTCGCCCTTTGTGCAACGCTCCATGGAGCGGTGGAGCTTTGAGGGCGTGGTTGTTCTTTCACTCATTGGATTCCTCGCCTTCCTTCGATTCCACCCATGCCCTTCCCCACCCTGATTCCTCCCCCACGGCCACACAGGAAGCTCTTACCAACCATTCGTTTACGTCGCACTCGCCCTTTGTGCAACGGTCCATGCAGCAGTGGACGGGCGAGGGCGTGGGGTTCTCCCTCATCGAATCGGCTCTCGAGTTTGCAGTGCGGCGCGGCCCCCGGCTGCTGGCGCAGATGCAGAAGGAAGGGGGAAGAGAGGGGGGGAGAGACTGGGGCAGAGAGGGGAAGGGGAGGTGGGAGGTGGTGAGGGAGAGAGATGGGATACAGGAGAGGGAGGAGGAGAGGAGGGAAGGGAAGCAGGACACAGCAGAGAGTGTGGGGAGCAAGGATGCAGGCGCAATACTGGTGTTTATGACGGGGTGGGATGATATTATTGGCATGCGGGACAGGCTGAGGGAGCATCCGCTGCTGGGGGATGAAAGCCGGGTGCTGCTGCTGACATGCCACGGCAGCATGCCCATCGAAGAGCAGGTGCGTGTGAGATGGGCTGAGGTGGGCTGAGGGGTACAAGGATTTTGTCATGGGGGACAGGACAGGCTGAGGAAGCATCCGCTGCTGGGAGATGAGAGCCACGTGCTGCTGCTCTGCTCACATGTCACGGCAGCATGCCCATCGAAGAGCAGGTGCGTGTGAGATGGGGTGAGGGGCTAAGGGGATGGATCAATACAGGCTGAGGGACATTTGTTGTTGGGGGATGAGAGCCGGGTGCTGCTGCTCACGTGCCACGGGCATGAGCAGGTGCGTGCGAGATGGGGGTATGCAGTTGCCATCGGTACCTCACTTGGAGAAAACATGGCGAAAACTTTACCTCACATGGCGAATACTTCCATCACCATCAACGATGTGGCCCTTGCCCCGCTCCCCCCACCTTCACCCCCCTATCTCCCCCTACCCTTCTTTTCCTCCAAGCAGAAGTTGATCTTCATCCCGCCACCCCCAGGAATCACCAACCAAGGTGATCCTGGCCTGGCCACCAACATGGCCGAAACCTCCATCACCATCAACGACGTTGCCCTGGTCATCTTAACCCCTTCCCGCCCCCTGTGCTTTCCTGCCACCCCTGTCCCCCCTAACAGAAGCTCATAATCACCCCACCACCCCCAGGGGTTACTAAAGTCATTCTAGCCACCAACATGGCAGAGACATCCATCACCATCAACGACGTCTTGGCATCGTAAACCCTAACTCACCCTTTGCATCCCTCTCCCTCTTATCCCTCCTTAACCCCTCTTTCTCATCAAGCAGAAGCTCATACTCAACCCCCCTCCTCCCGGCATCACCACCAAGGTCATCGTAGCCATCAGCATGGCGGAAACCTCCATCACCATCAACGACGCCGTCACACATTCATTCCCCTATCTTCGCCCCTTTCCTCCCCTATCCAACTTTCCCAAGCAGAAGCTAATATTCAACCCGCCACCCGCAGGGGTGACCAAGGTCATTCTAGCAACCAACATGGCGGAAACCTCCATCACCATCAACGACGTTGCCCTGGTCATCGACACAGGAAAGGCCAAGGAAACTTCCTACGACGCAGTCAACAACGTGCCGTGTCTCCTCCCCCAGTGGGTCTCCAAGGCGTCTGTGAAGCAGAGGCGGGGGCGCGCGGGGAGAGTGCGGCCGGGCGTGTGTTTCCACCTGTATCCGCGCCCGCTGTTTGCTGCTCTGCCGGACTATGGCCAGCCGGAGCTGCTGAGGGCGCCGCTGCACTCGCTGTGCCTGCAGATCAAGACTCTCGGCCTGGGGAACATCGGGGAGTTCCTGGGGAAAGCCATACAGCCGCCAGAGCCGCTAGCTGTGAGTGGGGGTATAGTTGGACCCTGGATGGGTTGTCAATTGCCTGCAGATCAAGACCCTTGGGCTGGGCAATATTGGAGAGTTCCTGGGGAAGGCCGTACAGTCACCAGTACCTCTAGCTGTGAGCTTGGGAATGGCTAGCAGTGTTTTGAGACGTCTCAAAACACTCCTTCTTTCACGTGGCCGTACAGTCACCAGTACCTCTAGCTGTGAGCTTGGGAATGGCTAGCAGTGGACGTTGACTTTTGAGTCGACTCAAAAGTCAACTTGGGAATGGCTAGCAGTGGACGTGGGTGGGCTGGATTCTAATGGCAGATGGAAACCTGTGACGCGTCTAGGCATAGCGAGTGTTTCCATCTGTGACGCGTCTAGGCATAGCGAGTGTTTCCATCTGTGACGCGTCTAGGCATAGCGAGTGTTTCCATTCCATCTGTGACGCGTCTAGGCATAGCGAGTGTTTCCATTCCATCTGTGCCCGCGCCCGCTGTTTGCTGCTCTGCCGGCCTATGGTCAGCCGGAGCTGCTGCGGGCCAATGCAATAGAGCTGCTGCGGGCCAATGCAATAGAGCTGCTGCGGGCCAATGCAATAGAGCTGCTGCGGGCCAATGCAATAGAGCTGCTGCGGGCCAATGCAATAGAGCTGCTGCGGGCCAATGCAATAGAGCTGCTGCGGGCCAATGCAATAGAGCTGCTGCGGGCCAATGCAATAGAGCTGCTGGAGGATGTGGGGGCGACGGGGCGTTGGAGAAGGATTAGTACGTCATGCTAATCCCTGCACCTGTGTTTTCATGTTTTCTTTCATGCGTCTGTCCATGTATCCACGTGCACATCCATTCTTGTGCCATCCGTGTGTCATGCATGCATGCATGCAGGTGGACAATGCCATAGAGCTGCTGGAGGATGTGGGGGCGCTGGACAAGGATGAGAACCTCACACCGCTTGGTACGCATGCATGGCGTGGCATGACGTGGCATGGCGTGGCATGGATGGCATGGTGTGGCATGGCATGGCATGTCGTGGCGTGGCATGGCGTGGCGTGGCATGGCATGGCATGGCGTGGCATGGCGTGGTATGGCCACCGCCTGGCTCTGACATGCCACACACATGGACAAGGATGAGAACCTCACACCGCTTGGTACGCATCGCATGGCATAGCATGGCATGGCGTGGCGTGGCCATACATGATACACCCCACCCCATGCGTGTGGCATGCGCAGATGCACATTCTCACATGCCACACACACACATGGGCAAGGATGAAAGCCTCACACCACTGGGTACGCATCGCATGAACATGTCCCTCATGCGTGCGTGTGTGCCTCTCCATCCGCACCTTTCTCCCAGGCCAACTCAATGTGCTACCCCCATCCCATCATGCCATGTATCTCTCCTTTCCTCACCTTTCCTCTCCTCTCCTCTCCTCTCCTCTCCTCTCCTCTCCTCTCCTCTCCTCTCCTCTCCTCTTCTTATCATCTCCTCTCCTCACCTCACCTCACCTCTCCTCTCCTCTCCTCTCCTCTCCTCTCCTCTCCTCTCCTCTCCTTTTCGCTCCTCTCGTCTCCTCTCCTCTCCTCTCCACTTCTCTTGTTGCCTCTTATCTCGTTTCCTCCCCTCTCCTCTCCTTTCCTCCTCTCCTCTCCTCTCCATTCCTCTCCTCTCCTCTCCTCTCCTTTCCTCCTCTCCTCTCCTCTCCATTCCTCTCCTCTCCTCTCCTCTCCTCTCCTCTCCTCTCCTCTCCCTTCCTCTCCTCTCCTCTCCTCTCCTCTCCTCTACTTCCCTCTCCTCCCTACAACTCGCGTCTCTCCCAACCCAACCTGCCTTTCTCTCCCCCTTCGCCAGGTCGGCACCTCACAGCACTGCCCCTGGAGCCACGGGTGGGGAAGATGCTGGTGATGGCGGCGGTGCTCTCATGTGTCAACCCTGTGCTCACTGTAGGAGCCACTCTCAGTGAGAGAGAGCCGTGGGTGCGACCAGCTGATAAGCGAGAGGTGAGAATGAGGCACGCAGATGAGGGGGAGAGGAGGGAGTGATGGCGGCGGTGCTGTCGTGTGTGAACCCTGTGCTCACTGTAGCTGCTACCCTTAGTGAGAGAGAGCTGTGGGTGCGACCGGCAGATAAGAGAGAGGTAAGTAGGTCACTGGGTGACTTGGCTTCTTGCGTGTGTGAACCCGGTGCTCACTGTGGTGGCTACCTTCAGCGCGAGAGAGCCGTGGGTGCGACCAGCAGATAAGAGAGAGGTAAGATTGGGGCACGCAGATGAAGGAGGAGGGTCGCGGCGGTGCTAGCATGTGTGAACCCGGTGCTCACTGTGGTGGCTACCTTCAGCGAGAGAGAGCCGTGGGTGCGACCAGCAGATAAGAGAGAGGTAAGATTGGGGCACGCAGATGAAGGAGGAGGGTCGCGGCGGTGCTAGCATGTGTGAACCCGGTGCTCACTGTGGCGGCTACCCTTAGCGAGAGAGAACCGTGGGTGCGACCGGCTGATAAGAGAGAGGTGCGGAGGGGTATGTGAAAAGGGATGTGACAAGAAAATGAGGGGGAGATGAAGGGGTGTGATGGCGGCGGTGCTGGCATGTGTGAACCCTGTGCTCACTGTAGCTGCTACCCTTAGTGAGAGAGAGCTGTGGGTGCGACCAGCAGATAAGAAAGAGGTGAGAATGAGGCAGGAATATGAAGGGGGAAGTGAAGGGGTGATGGCAGCAGTGCTGTCGTGTGTGAGCACTGTGCTTACTGCGGCTGCTACCCTTAGTGAGAGAGAGCCATGGGTGCGACCGGCGGATAAGAGAGAGGTGAGCAGGGATGTGAGTGCGAATGAGGCAGGAAGGTGAAGGAGTGAGTGATGGTAACGCTGCTGCTATGTGTCAACCCTCTCCCTTCACAGCAGTGCTGTTGTTCGTGATCCCATGTGCTCGCCGGGATGGCCACTCGCAGTGAGCGAGAGCCGTGGGTGTGGTTGGCGGATAAGGGAGAGGTGAGCAGGGAGAGGGGAGAGGGAGTCGTGGCAGATATATTGTGGTGTAACAGTCAGCAACCAAACATTTGGCCACTTTTGAGAATTCCAAAACGCTCACGATTGGGTACTGAGTTGACAAATGAATCGGAGAGCAAGATTATGGAGCTATATCCCGCCGACAAAATAACTAAGTTCTTCAAGCTCTTCAAGCTATCCTGTTTATCTCCTTGATGATTCTATGGTTGTACCACATGTGTGCACGCTTACAAAGATATTATTACACCATAATCTATACCCAAGTTCTTCATTTGAATGCCAAAGAGTGTGACATTCCTCTGGAACCGTTGGAGCCGCTGGACTGAGCTTAGGCGTCATAGCAATTTTCCTCATTCGGCTTTGAGCTGTCCAAAGCACATTCTGTTCAAGACAGCCTTGTAGACTTTGAGCAAGGAGGAAAATCCGTCTTGAACAGAATGTGCTTTGGACAGCTAAAAGCCGAATGAGGAAAATTGCTATGACACCTAAGCTCAGTTCAGCGGCTCCAACGGTTCCAAAGGAATGTCACGCTCTTTGGCATTTAAATGAAGACCTTGGGCATAGATTATGGTGTGATAACATCTTTGTAAGCGTGCACATATGTGGTACAACCGTAGCATCATCAAGGAGATAAGCAGGATAGCTTGAAGAGCTTGAAGAACTTAGTTATTTTGTCAGCGGGATATAGCTCCATAATCTTGCTCTCCGATTCATTTGTCAACTCAGTAACAACCACCAACGCAAGATGTTGTGAGTCAACTCAAAGCAAGATTTGGGTATCTTTGTCATGTGATGATCAACCCCTTGCTCGCTGGGCATTGGGAGAGGTGAACTTCGCCGCTGCTTCAGGGGTATCTCATGATCCATCCATCCATCCATCCATCCATCCATCCATCCGTCCACCCGTCCGTCCGTCCGTCCGTCTGTCCGTCCGTCCGACCGTCCATCCATCCATCCATTCATTTACCCACCATCTTCAATCCATTCTTCCCCAATTCATTTCTCTCTTACCCTTTGAATCAGGTGGCTGATTCAGTGCGCCTGCGCTTTGCAGGGGACGACTGCAGCGACCACTTCGCGGCAGTGAGGGCGTTCGAGGGGTGGGTGACGGCTCTGGGATCAGCAACCAGCCGCAGCGATGGATACAGCGCTGCCAGGGCGTACTGCTACGACCACTTCCTATCGCACCCCACCATGCAGGCACGTGGTGGTGTTATGGATACATCCTGACTCTGTTTTAACTTTCTTTCTCTTCTTTCGCGTTCTGAATTCTAAGGTTCACACGCACTTTCACAGCGCATAAGGTCGGCAGCAATTTTGGTGGTGTACTGTACTTGGCTGTGAGACGTCTCAAACCTGTAAATTCTGCGGCCGTAAATTATAATTCTTGCTGGTTATAAGCACAATTTTTTCCTAGATTCTCATTTCTCGTTGTAGCTTATTTCTTCTTGTCAGTTAACTTGTGTTGTCTTGTCCCCATCCTTTCTTTTCCTTGTCAGTCGCCCTTTCTTCTCCAATTTCTGTATAAAGTAGTGTTTTGAGACGTCTCAAAACACTTCTTCATACTCGTCAGTCACACTCTCTTCTCCAATTTCTGGCCAAATTATCTCTTTCCAATCTGTACTGGGCCCTGCCAACTGTCTCGAGATGGTAACCAAATCGTATTATTTTCCGACTGTACCATCTGCTGCCCTGCCTGTCCGCCAGGCAATAGCAGGGCTGAGGCGGCAGCTGCTGGGGACACTTGGCGAGCTGGGATTGGTGGACGTGCAGCAAGGCATGGATGAGGCCAACAGCAGGAGCAACGACCCCGAGTTCGTGCGAGCGGCGCTGCTGGCTGGTCTGTTCCCCGGAGTGGCTTCCGCTGTGGTGAGTGTGTGTGAGTGTGTGTGGGGGCTTTGCATGTGCGCAGTATGAGTGAGGCCAACAGCAGGAGCAACGACCCCGAGTTCGTTCGAGCGGCGCAGCTGGCTGGACTGGCATCGGCAGTGGTGAGAGGGGAAGAGAGAGAGTGCATTCCTGGGTGGCTGTGTGCGAGAAACAGACAGCTGCTTGCATGAATGCATGCATGCATGCATACGCAATGGCATTCTTGTGCTTGGCAGGATTGCATCACATGCATGGATGATGAAAGTCATCGTAGCTCACAGGATTGTTCCGCTCGTAGCTCTCTGTTGTCTCGGTTGACTTCTCGACAAGTATCTAGTTCCCTGCATCACTGTTCACTCATTTGACTGCATTCGTTCCCCAACCGGGCACCCACCACCCCATATATCTTCAACCCTCTTCACCCTTCACCTCCCTTCACCTCCCCGTCTGCTGGTCACATCCAGAAACGGACGCGCAGCACAACGTACAAGACGGAGGAGGATGGGGAGGTGAACATCCACCAGGTGCGTATTAATGTGGTGAATGGAGAAGAGGGGGGGACAACGAAGGGGGAAGGAGGGGAAGGGGAGGTGTTGTGAGCAGCACAACGTACAAGACGGAGGAGGATGGGGAGGTGAACATCCACCAGGTGCGTATTAATGTGGTGAATGGAGAAGAGGGGGGGACAACGAAGGGGGAAGGAGGGGAAGGGGAGGTGTTGTGAGCAGCACAACGTACAAGACGGAGGAGGATGGGGAGGTGAACATCCACCAGGTGCGTATTAATGTGGTGAATGGAGAAGAGGGGGGGACAACGAAGGGGGAAGGAGGGGAAGGGGAGGTGTTGTGAGCAGCACAACGTACAAGACGGAGGAGGATGGGGAGGTGAACATCCACCAGGTGCGTATTAATGTGGTGAATGGAGAAGAGGGGGGGACAACGAAGGGGGAAGGAGGGGAAGGGGAGGTGTTGTGAGCAGCACAACGTACAAGACGGAGGAGGATGGGGAGGTGAACATCCACCAGGTGCTTACGTATGTAGTGAGATGAGATCTCTGGTGCAATGTGTGATGAGATGTGTGGTGAGACATGTGATGAGATGTGGTGTAGAACATGCATCATTTTCCAGGTAAAGAGCTCAACATGCACCACGTGTTCATGTATGCCGCACATGTAGGAAGAATATTAAGTCGTTACTCCTCCTAGTTTCTCGGCAATCACCCGCTCCCCATTGGTCCTCATCCCCCATTCCCCACCACCCCCTATCCCTCATCCGCCATCCCCATCACCCTTATCCCCCCCTCCCTGGCAGTCCTCGGTCAATGCTGGTCTCACGCGTTTCCCCTACCCCTGGCTGGTCTTCAACGAGAAGGTGCTGTGCCATGCCATGGGGTGCTGTGGCATGCCATGGGGTGCTGTGGCATGCCATGGGGTGCTGTGGCATGGCATTTCATGGCATGGTGCGCCCTTATGCCATGGACAGGGGTGTGATGTGATTTTGCTTTCCATGGAATGTGCTGGTCTCGATTGCTTGCCCTACCCCTGCCTGGTAATGCGGATTGCCATGGCATGGCATGGCATGGCATGGCATAGTGTGGCGTGGTGTGGCGTGGTGTGGCATGGAATGGTGTGGCATGGGATGGTGTGGCATGGGATGGTGTGGCATGGGATGGTGTGGCATGGGATGGTGTGGCATGGGATGGTGTGGCATGGGATGGTGTGGCATGGGATGGTGTGGCATGGGATGGTGTGGCATGGGATGGTGTGGCATGGGATGGTGTGGCATGGGATGGTGTGGCATGGGATGGTGTGGCATGGGATGGTGTGACATGGGATGGTGTGGCATGGGATGGTGTTGCACGGCTTGGTGTGGCATGACATGGTGTGGCATGGGATGCCGTGGTGTGATGTGGCCTCACGCCACAGCCGGGGGTCGGATACGCCTGACCACGAATCATGCTCGTCTCGCTCACAACCCATACCCATTCCTATCGTTGAGTCGACTTTAAAACATAATCAAAATCTGGGGGTTTGAATCGACTCAAAAATAGACTCTAAAAACAAGTTGTGAGTCGACGAAAAAATAGACATGCTCGTCTCACTCGCATCCTGGACCCATTCCGTGGGTCTTCAACAACAAAGTGTTGTGCCATGGCATGGGGTGGTGTGATATGGCCTTATGTCGTGGTGTGATATGGCCTTACGTCGTGGTGTGATATGGCCTTACGTGGTGGTGTGATATGGCCTTACGTCATGGTGTGTTATGGCCTTACATCGTGGTGTGATATGGCCTTACGTCGTGGTGTGACATGGCCTTACGTCGTGGTGTGATATGGCCTTACGTCGTGGTGTGATATGGCCTTACGTCGTGGTGTGATATGGCCTTACGTCGTGGTGTGATATGGCCTTACGTCGTGGTGTGATATGGCCTTACGTCGTGGTGTGATATGGCCTTACGTCGTGGTGTGTAATGGCCTTACATCGTGGTGTGATATGGCCTTACGTCGTGGTGTGATATGGCCTTACGTCGTGGTGTGTTATGGCCTTACGTCGTGGTGTGATATGGCCTTACGTCGTGGTGTGTTATGGCCTTACGTCGTGGTGTGTTATGGCCTTACGTCGTGGTGTGTAATGGCCTTACATCGTGGTGTGTAACCCTCTCATCTTCACCCTTCTGTACCCCACACCTCATCCCCCATGCTCCCACACACACAGATCAAGACGAATTCAGTCTTTATCCGCGATTCTACCGGTGTGTCCGATGCGGGGCTGCTGCTGTTCGGAGGGCCGCTCATCCCCATGACCCGTGTATTCTCTTTCACCCGTGAAGTGAACCCGTGAAGTGAACCCGTGAAGTGAACCCGTGAAGTGAACCCAAAAACTGTTGGGAGGGCCGCTCACGGGTGTATTCTCTTTCACCCGTGAAGTGAACCCAAAAACCAACACTGCAATCATCCCTTCTGCCCGCACATGACCAGATCAAGACAACTTCAGTCTTTATCCGCGATTCTACTGGTGTCTCTGATGCGGGACTGTTGCTGTTTGGAGGGCCGCTCACCCCCACCACCGACCCTGGGTATCTTCACATGCTGGATGGCTACTTTGAGTTCTTCATGCCGCCCGCCGCCGCCCGCTCCGTGCTCGCCTTGCGGTCTGAACTTGACGCGCTGATTCAACGCAAGGTGAGAAGCAGGGCTGGTGGTGGGTGCTGATAGGTGGTGCAAGGTGGTGAGATGTGCTTTAGGGTGCTAGTAGGAGGTGGTGTGTGTTCTTTTGGCGCCTTGAATCAGACTGACTGACTGACCCCGAACACCTGCACATGCTGGACCAGTAGAGACCATGCTGGGACTTACTTTGAGTTCTTCATGCCGTCGCTCTGTTCTGTTCTCCCAGCTAGAGGAGTGGCCATTCTGGGAGCCATCTTGGGCCTTGTGGAGTGCGAGCAGTCACGCAGCACCTTCACCACAGCCCTCATGCCAGAAATAGTTCGGGTGCAATTCTCTTTCTTTTCCCGTGTCACCACCCCGAGCAGCTGAGCTGGTTAACCCTCGCCTTCCCTTCACACCAGAAGACAAGGCCATTCTTGGAGCTGTTCCCTTCCTTCTGCACTGCAAGCAGCCACACGGCACCTTTACTATCTGTTTACCTCCTGATAACTAATCACTCGTCTGATTATTTTCTCCTCTTTTTCCTTTTGTCCACCCCAACACAGCTGGGGAACCCTCGCCTTCCCTTAACAGCAGAAGACGAGGCCATTCTGGGAGCCGTCTCGGACCTTCCCCAGTGCGAGCAGTCACAAGGCACCTTCACCATCGGCCTCCAGCCAAATCATCAGTCGTGCTTTTTCTTTCTTCGCTTTTCCCTTTTCACCACCCCAACGCAGCTGGAGAACCCTCGCCTCCCCTTAACGCCAGAAGATGAAGCTATTCTGGGAGCTGTTTCTGACCTGCTGCAGTGCGAGCAGTCACAAGGCACCTTCACCATCGGCCTGCAGCCAAAGCTCGCCCCTCCCAAGCCAGCCAAACCCGTGCGGGCGAAAGCAGTGGACATGAAACTGGAAGTGGGGAAGGATTTCAAGTCGTACGTTCACAACAACTGCAAGATCCATTTCCTGGGCAAACCTCGGTACTACACGGATCAGATCGGGACGAAAAAGGAGAAGGTGTATCAATGCACGATGCGGCTTGGCGGGGCTGCGGCAGGGATTGATTTTGTCGGCGAGCCTGCTTCTACGAAGAAAGTTGCCGAGTGGAACGCGGCTGTGGAGGCGTGGCAGTGGATTCTGGAGTATAAGAAGGTGGAGAGGAAGGAGAAGGAGAAGAAGGAGGAGGTGAAGAAGGCTGGGAGGAAGGAGAGAAAGGAAATTAGGAAGGCGAATCATAAGATGGAGGAGAGGTGGGAGTTTTGGAGGAAGAAGTATGAAGAGGAGGAGGCAGCTGCTAGAGCTGCAAAACGGAAGGAGAAGGGAGGAGGGAGTGGGGGGGGTGTAGGGGTGGGCGAGGGAGAGGCGATGGGTGAAAAGATGGTGGAGGAAAGCGGGAAAGGTGTGGAAGAGAAGGGAGGTAAGTCGCGGGGGCGCAGAAAGGGGGGAAATGCTACGAAAAGGGAGCAGAAGGAGGGGGAAAGTGAGGGGAAGGGGAAGCAGGAGCTTCTTCCGTTGAGTCAAGCAACCAAGGGAGCTAGGAGGGTGGCAGTGAAACGGAGAGGGAAGAAAAGAGCAGGAGGAGCAGAGGAGGGGGTTGATGCAGCAGGGGTAGCAGGAGAGGGAGTGGTGGATGGGGATGGTGCAAATGAGTGGGCTGATATGGCCAGTGGAGGGGATGAGGAGGAGAGGGGAGGGAAACGTAAGAAGAAAAGCAAAGGTAAGGGAAAAAACACGTTAGAGGTTGTGCTTTCTGGCGATGATGATGTTTCCGAAATGTCTCAAAACAGGAAGGGCAAGGTGAAGGGTAAAAGCACCTTGGAGGTGGTACTTCCTAGTGATGATGATGGTATGCAAGGAAGGGTAGGGCAGAAACGAGGTAGGAAGCGGGCTGCGGAGTAGATATGGTCTAGACTAGATTAGAGATGGTTTGTAGGAGTAGGTTCCTTGTGGAGCATGCGTGGTGGGTAAAAGTGGATGGTAAAGATACTACGGTACGGTATCCCTGTACTGATGTGCTGTGATGTGATATGAAGCAACAACTCGCACATTTGTTAGAAAAGCTCCAACTCTGCGCTCATATGTTGAGGTATTGTAAGTTGTAACCCCCCTTTTAGGGGGGTAGCTCAAGTACAAATCAAACCAACCGGTAAGCTCAGGTCCGGTGGTCCAAGTGCTACGCGGCTGAACTATGAATTACCGTACTACTGGTACCATTATTTACCGTATTCCAGCCAAAAAAAACAAACTAACTAACTAAAAAACAAACAAACAAACAAACAAACAAAAACATACGGTAACAGAAACTCGTGATTGCACGGTAAACCATGTGATGGGATATCTGCACCACACAGAAACCCCCCCGGCAATCAAATGCCTCAAAATACACAGTATCAATGAACACTACCTAGAATGTCATGCATATTTGTATGATTATGGAGGCTGAGTCAGTGTTGCGTGCGGCGTGCAAACACGAAGACGGAGCCGTGGGATCCTCGGCCGATGCGCCCGCGCTCATCGACGTACGACACGGAGAGGCACACACAGACGACTGCCCTCCGTACAAGTATTAGGCAGCACACTGCTTGCTACGGCATATTATTACTCTAATTACGTGCGGCGTGCGAACACAAAGATGGAGCCTTGGGATCCTCGGCCACTGCGAACACGCTCATCGAGATACGACACGGAGAGGCGCACAAACGACTGCCCTCTGTACAAGTATCAGGCAGCGCACTCTATTTCTATTACTCTAATTACGTGCGGCGTGCAAACACAAAAATGGAGCCTTGGGATCCCCGGCCAATGCGCACCCGCTCATCGAGGTACGACACAGACAGGCGCACGGACGATTGCCCTCCGTAGGAGAACTTGAGCGCGCCCAGAGCGAGGTTGGGCGCCTCAAACACCGCCCGCACCCACTTGTTGTCCAGCGGCTCAAAAGTGCCTGAAGGGAGGAAGCAAGAGTGGGGAAGGGGGAAGGTGGGGAATGGGGAAGGCGAGGCAGGAAGAAGTTGAGTCCTAGGTAGGGTGCCTCAAACACCGCCCGCATCCACTTGCTGTCCAGCGGCTCAAACGTGCCTGGTGGGAGGACGCAAGAGTGGGGAGAGGGGAAGACGGGGAAGGGGGAAGGTAAGGCGGGAAGAAGTGGACTTGAAAGTCACCCTAGCCTTGGCGCCTCAAACAGAGCTCGCACCCACTTGTTGCCCAGCGGCTAGAACATGCCTGATGGGAGGTTTGTGGAGGGGAGAATGGCAGGAATGAGGTGGGGGAATGAGAAGGTGGGGGTAGGGGGAGGTAGGAACGGGTGTGTTAGGTTGTGTCATTACCTGATCAATTATTCCATGTCAAAGCCTCCCCTTCCTTCCCCTCCCACCATAAAATATGATACTGCTAACATACATACCCCACCTTTGAGGCTGATGCTGCCGGGGATCAGGGAGAGCGCGTCAAACTCCACGAGGTTATCGATTCCGTTGGGCGGGTAGATGGTCTGCATCAGGTCCTTGGATCGCAGCAGCAGGTGGTTAGTGACACCGCACCCAACCGAACTGCATCGCACATATACCTGACACACACCGATGATCTGCTGTAGGTCCTTGGAGTGCAGCAGGGGGTTATTGACACGCATCTACCATACCTGACACCATAACCAGCGCCTAGATCTCCCATCTACCCCTCCCTTCTTCTCCCTCCCCTCCCCTCCCACCCCGAAATTTGGTGCTACTTCACGACCCACCCTTGAGGCTGATGCTGCCAGGGATCAGGGAGAGAGCGTCAAACTCCACGAGGTTATCCACCCCGTTGGGCGGGTACATGGTCTGCATCAGGTCCTTGGATCGCAGCAGGTGGTTACCTTGAGACATCTACCTGGCACAGCACCGCACCCAACCCAACTGCATCCCACCTTTAAGGCTGATGCTGCCGGGGATCAGGGAGAGCGCGTCGAATTCCACGAGGTTATCCACCCCGTTGGGCGGGTAGATGGTCTGCACCAGGTCCTTGGATCGCAGCAGTGTGCGCCCCAGCATGCTGCGGTAGTACCCGCCCGCTGCTGTGGGTCTAGATGTGTATGCCACCTCCCATGCTGTTGTGAGGGGGCACAGAGATAGATAGAGGCACAGAGGGAATAAGGGGTGGTGGGTGGGTCAAGGAAGCCGTGTGGAGGTGGTGGTTGGATCGCAGCAATGTGCGCCCCAGCATGCTGCGATAGTACCCGCCTGCTGCTGTGGGGCGCCACGTGTACGCCACCTCCCATGCTGGCGTGCAGGTAGAGATAGACAGGTGCATACAAGTCAGAGGACTTTTGAGGCGCCTCTTGAGTCGACTCAAAAGTCACCTCAGATAGACAGGTGCATGCAAGTCAGAGGACTTTTGAGGTGACTTTTGAGTCGACTCAAAAGTCACCTCAGATAGACAGGTGCATGCAAGTCAGAGGACTTTTGAGGCGCCTCAAAAGGCGTGCAGGTAGAGATAGACAGGTGCATACAAATCAGAGGGAGAGTAAGGGGCGGTGGGGTTGGTTAATGAGTCTGCAGGTGGTGGTTGGATCGCAGCAGCGTGCATCCCAGCATGCTGCGGTAGTAGCCCACACATGCACACGCACGTGCATGCAGTCATTCTCGCTTTTAGTCACACAAGGGGTAGCGATGAACAGGTCAGAGAGGGCATGATGAATGTACCTTTTTTTTACAGCAGCAGGAGGAGAGAGTTAAGTCGTCCCAAGCAGCATGTTTTGAGACGTCTCAAAGTCGTTCCCAAGCAGCAGCATTTCACGCCTGAGAATTCTCAAACGGGACTCCATGATGGATGTGCATTTGACAGGAGGAGGACAAAGGCCAGCCCTTCCCCGACAGCATGGCACACGCACATCAAGTGAAGGTCAAGCGGTCTGTTTCTTTTGTGGCCCTGACTTTGATCCCATATCCCCTTTAAAATGCCCAGCCACAATCAAACACCGGCAAACTCTTGACCGGCACACCGCCCCGTCCACTGCTGAATGCTCCGCTGCTCTATGCATGCCCGCTTACCACCGAACGCCAGGGGAATCTTGAGCGGCTCCTCCAGCCCCACAGCCGCCAGCACTCCCATGTCCTTGCATTGCTGCTCCACTGCCGCGCCCTTTTCACCCATTCCTCTACTCTCCCTACACTCCCTGCAGTCCCTTGCTCTAAGCGCCGGCTTACCTCCAAATACCAGGCGGCTCTAGAGCGGCTCCTCCAGCCCCACAGCCACCAGCTACTCCACTGCCACACCCGTCACTCATTCCCCTGCGGTCCCTAGGGTCCCCGCGGTCCCTGCTGTCTCTACAATCCCTAGGGTCCCCGCGGTCCCTGCGGTCTCTACAATCCCTAGGGTCCCTACGGTCCCTACGGTCCCTATGGTCCCTAGGGTCCCTGCGGTCCCTGCGGTCTCTACAATCCCTAGGGTCCCTACGGTCCCTACGGTCCCTATGGTCCCTAGGGTCCCTGCGGTCCCTGCTGTCTCTATAATCCCTAGGGTCCCCGCGGTCCCTGCTGTCCCTTGGCCTAAGCGCTGGCTTACCTCCGAACACCAGCGGGCTCTTGAGCGGCTCCCCCAGCCGCACGGCCTCCAGCCGCTCCACTCTCGTGCCCTTCCTTTGACTCCAGTACAGCCCTTTGCGACATGCCCCATTGCCGTATGCAAGCACGCTTACCTCCCAACACCAGCGGGCTCTTGAGCGGCTCCCCCAGCCCCATTGCTTCCAGCTGCTCCTCTCTCATGCCCTTTACACTCGACCTTACAATCCCTTGCTATTAACGTCTGCTTACCTCCGAACACCAGCGGGCTCTTAAGCGGCTCTTCCAGCCCCATTGCTTCCAGCTGCTCCACTACCACACCCTTTTCACCGGTTCCCGTACAAACCCTACAGCCTGTACTGTCCCTCTCTCAACATGTACGTACCTCCAAACACTAAGGGACTCTTGAGCGGCTCTTCCAGCCCCATTGCTTCCAGCTGCTCCACTATCGCCGTCACTGCCGCCCGGCCCTCGTCGCTCATCGCCGCCCCTCGGTCCGAGTCCTTCACCTGGCAGGGGGGAGAAATAAAGCACGCAACGCATTTCATCTTCCTGCCCTGCCCCGTCACTACCGCCCTGCCCTCGTCGCTCATCGCCGCCCCTCTGTCAGTGTCTTTCACCTGCAGGGGGAAAAAAAAAAAGTACAAACTGAGGTCTCATCGCCCTGCCCCACCCTGCTCTGCCCTGCTCCGCCCTGTTCTACCCTGCCATCCCCTTCCCGGCCCTCATCGCTCATCGCCGCCCCTCTGTCCGAGTCCTTCACCTGCCGGCTGGAAACAGTACAGCATGCATTCTTATCTCCCTGCCCTGACTCGCCCTGCCTTTTCCTTCGCTTCCCTTCCTACCCTGCCCTGCCCTGCCTCCCTTCTCTCATCGCTCATTGCTACCCCTCTAACCGCGTCCTTAACCCTTGGGTAGACAAAGCAAAGCATGGTTTCTCGAATAGCGTCAACACTCTGTTTTACGGCTTATTACCAAAGGAAAACACAAAAAATGCTGACCATGGACAGCAGTTTATCGACCAGCTCTGAAGCCCGCGAGTCCGTCGCGGAAGCACTCGCAGCCGCATCGGCCGCCGCTCGAACGCTAACACCTGCTCCGCGCAGCCGACCATTCGGCAACGCTTGACTACCTAACCGCAGTCCCGCTGATTGAACCGCTACGCGGCCGCAGGAATTGAGTGCGTCTGGCCGAGCGAGCGACACGAGGCAGGACGTGCTAGCAATGGGTGTGCTAGTACTGGAGAAATTGCTGGCGGGGGCTAGGGCTCTGAGAGGCCGCGATGCGCCGATTCCGGCGCTCGACGCCAACGAAACCGAAGCTGAAGCGGCTGTCGCCATGCGTGTTACAGAATTTCGTCAGAGAGTTCGCCTGCGTGTTCGCTACTTCGGGGCTCTTCGTAGAGAATGAACTTAGGTGACTAATAATGTGGCCAGGCCTGCCAACACGTCTTTAGAATTTCACCTGAATTTGGTTATTGTGCAACCAATATCGAGGCAGGCAGGACGACAGTGTCGATCGATTATTGTCAGTGACACGTCATGATTACGTTTTGAGACCAGAAGATCTCAAAGAAAGTGGGTCGACCAATTAGCGAAGTGCACAAGGATCGTTGTGCCCAGTTCATTACCGATCCCCTATTGCATTTTTGCGAAGCACTTGAACAAATGGATCGTCTGTACACCGCTAGCCACCACTAGACTCCACTATTAAGTGCTTGTTTGAATGAAACACTGAAAACCACAGTAGCTGGTTATGGAATACTAAATTGGTGGCAATTGCAAGCTCACCACCTCTGCAAAAGGCCTTCTCGCCTGATTCTCCCAGACTCAACCAGTTGTTAGCTGCTCCAGAGTCACAGTATCCTTCGCACAGGTTAAACCACCACGAACACTAGCATAACCCCCAGTTACATCTCAGTAAACCCCCATAAACCACCTTGTTGCAACTGCACCAACAACACCATCACCGCCACTATATCATTGCCCCCAGCTTCTAACCGTCGAAGAAAGAACAGCCTGGGAACCCATCCCATGAGCACACGAATACCAAGATGTCTCACAATCAGCATGACCAGCAAGCAATTCATCGCCCCCAGCTTCTAACCGTAGAGGAACACCCATGGGCAGACAGATTCCGAGATGTTTCACGATCAGCATAACCACCTGATCACCGCCCCCAGCTTCTAACCGTCGAGGAGCGGACAGCCGGGTTACCCATCGACTCAAACACCTCTGGGGCGAGCATACCCCCCAGCTGCGTCTCCAACCTCTGCTTGAACGTCCGGGCGGCCTTCGCCGGATCATCCACTGACGTCCTTGCAGTCTCGCCCTTCTTGGCTCTCGCGGCAGCACCTGGGGGAGGTTGGAACTGCAGTTCCACCTCCACCAGCACCCCCTTCGCCCCAGCAAGTTTCTTCCTCAGAATCCTCACATTCCGTGTGTTGGTGAGAGCAGCAGCAGCCAGCCCGTGCCTTAGAGCCCCGTCCACCTCATCGTTCCATGCGTCCAGCCTGGCAGCAGGAAACATCAAGGCAGCTTCCACAACAGCTGTGGGACCGCCGTTCCCATCCTCCCCTTCCCCACCACCCCCATCCCCTCCTCCTCCGTCCATCCCGCCATCCTCGGGAATATCTGTTGTCCACCATGCACACGGCAGCGGGTACTTAAGTAAGTGCCGCATGGTTTTCACCTCAATCTCCTCTGAAAGTGCCGGCACGCTTTTCTGCCCGATCTCTTCTGCCCCTTGCTTCAAAAACCCCACCTTCCAAGCGATATGATTCTTGTAACTCTCCGGCAAAATCCTCTCTGCCTGCCTTGTAATCTCCGGCCCCAGCCTTCTCTCCCCAGCCATAGCTCCCAGCACAGCAGCAGCTCGCGCACGCACGATAATGGAGTTCTCTGTATCGAGTACGAGCGATGCCAGACGATCCACAACCTGATGCTGCAACCCCAACTCAACAGCCTTTGAGGAAAGTCTGAACAATTTCTGCATGAGCATCAGAGCACACACCCTCGGATCCGTAGCAGCTTGCCCCTGTCTCCCTGCCGGTACCTCCAGCAACAGCAGCTTCGACAGAAGCGAGATGAGCTCTTCAGAAGAGACGAAATCCGCCACGTCATTCGAAGTAACCATGCGCAGGAACAGTAACACGCCGGCCTGCAGCAGCGCGCGCCGCTCTTCGCCGCTGCCCGACGTGAAAAAGTCCGTCACGGGCAGGAAGATGTCCGTGTTGGTGATGGTCAGCAGGTGCGGGCGGCTCTGGAAAAGCGCGAGCAGGGCCAAAAGCAGCCTTCTACGATCCGCAGTGGTGAACTCCTCATATCTCTTGCCTTCATTTGGCGCAGCAGTGACTATAGCCTTGCGAATCTCCCTCACCAGTTGCAGCTCCACTCGCTTCCCGAGATCAAATCTCGGCTGCCGCAACAACTGGTCCACGTAACACCCACCAATGTACATCTCCGGAACGTACCCCGCCTTTTCCTGCTCTGAAAACAACGTTTCCGCAGCCTCTGCTCCTCCTGCTGCTCCCTCTCCTTCATCCTTTGCCAACTCGATGCTCTCGCGCACGTACTGCAGGAAGAAGGGGCGGAACGCCGCTGCTTCCTCCCCGCCTCGCCCCACACTGCCGCCGTCCGGCTCCTTCCCTGCCTCCAGATCCCACATAGGCAGCCCTAGCTGCTGCTTCCCCTCACTCACCTCCCCCTCATGCCTCCTTAGCACCTCCTCTGCTTCCCTCTTGATTGCATCTCTCGCTCTTCTCGCCGAAGCGTCATTCCACACAAGCAGCGGCGTGCAACTGGGAGATCCGATGGCTCGGCACGCTCCTTCCGGATCGGACATGAGGAGCGAGAGGATGCGCATCGGCAGCAGCAGGTACAGCACCCGAACCGAGATGAGAGGCACGGCCGGCGCCGCGCCTGGCTCCAGGAGCGAAATCAGGTTGTGGATATCCCGAACGTCCCCGTGAGGGTCGGAAAACACCTCCTCATCCACTGATAGGTTATCAATCCCGTTCGTGCCATCACCTAATGCTGTTGCTGACCCTATCCCCTCCTCCTCAATCCCGGCGATAAATTTCGCCCGATCCTGCACTCCACAGGCCGCCAGCAGCAGCTGCCCGAGAATCTGGGCAGCTCGAAACTGCGCCGTGTCCAGCACTCCTGCCTCTTCCGCCTCGCTCCACGCCTGCCCAGCAGCTTTTTTCGAAGTGCCCTTAAACGGGGGCAGGGGAACCCGGAGGAAGAGCGCGAGCAGCACGAGAAGCAGGCTGCTGGAACTGAAATGATTGGTAACTGCCACAACTGCTGCCATTTCCACACTTAGATCCAAAACCGCGTCGAGAATCGCCAGTGCCAGTTCACTCAACCCCGCCCCGAAATCCTCCTCCCCTTCTGGTGCCACCAACCCCTCTTCCACTCCCGTTCCTGGTATGGTGATCGATCTCCATAGCTGCCGTGCCAAAACGGGCAGCAAAGACGACCCCAGCAGCTGCTCTCGGCTCGTAGGGGCACCTGAAACAATCTGCGCGATGCCCACGACCAGCCGCCGGGCAGTTGGAAGTGTATCCGGGGCAGCCGCCAAAATCTCCGCAAGGAGGAGATAGTCTATGTGAGCCAGCATGCCCCTCTTACCGTCCTCTACCGCATACCTAATGCACTCCGCCAGGGCTTTAAGTACCATCAGAAACCCGGCGACAGTGGGAGGCTGTGAGGCAAAGGCAGCTGCTGAGGTGGTGACGATGCTACTAGGAGATGGAGGAGTGATGAGGGTGGAGGAAGAGGAGGATTGGGAGGAGATGATGGGGAGAGAGGAGCGGAGATAGTCCTGAAGAGCCATGAGAAACGCACGGCCGTCGGGCAGGTCGAAGTTTTCCCAGCTGCCCGCAGCGTACCCCCGGACGAAGATGCCTGAAATAACCATTTCGTCCTTGAGGCAGTCGTACCTGACAAACACGAGAATAGCGAGGAGAGCAGTAAGGAACGAGAAAAGCAAAGGAGATGGGAAAGAAAGAACGAGAGCCGCAACGAGAGAAACGAAAGAGTCTGGGGAAGAAGAGGGAGGAGACAATGGAAACAAGGGAGATAAGAGTAAGAGGGGGATCAGATGAGAAGGTGAACTTTTGAGGCGCCACCTCGTCTTCCTCCTCCGCTCCTCCCCCCATTTCTCCAGCATCCCCCGCCCGCACCAGATTGAATCTCCTAAACAGCGCCCCTCCTAAACAGCGCCCCTCCTAAACAGCACCTCCACCGTCCTCCGCAGCTCCTCCCTCACAGTTGTGTTCGCAGCATCTCCTACTCTCACACTCCACATCCTATCAACGCCCATAATACCACCTCACACTGCCTGATACCGCCTGGTACCGCCTGGTACCCACTGATACCGCCCATTCTCACCTGAACGAGCGCAGCCACGCCACTTCATCTTCCTCCTCCGTTCCTCCTCCTCCCCCTCCTCCAGCCTGCGCCAGGTTAAACCTCTTAATCCGCGCCTCCACCTTCCCCCTAAGCTCCTCCCTCACCGCCGCATTCCAAATCGCGGTCGGCATCTCGCCGTCGGCTCCCACCAACGCAACAAGCTTCGCCGCCCCAGCATCGGGATTCTTGAGAGCATCCAGCAGACCCCAGGGGATGACGTATGAGAGCAGGCCGCCCTGCTCCTGCTCCTGCTGCTGCTGCTCCAACTGCTGCATGTGCAGCAGAGAGCCTCGGGGGCTAGGTTCGCCATCAGGCGGGAGTGCTTGCTCAAGAGTGATTGCGAGCGTTCGCAGCACCTCTGCTGCCACCTGCTGTAGCGCTTTCGCCCTGAAGTTGGGCTCTTGACCTGCTTGGACAAGGAAAACATGTCGAAGGGCAGCAGGAAGGGAAGGAGGACACACTCAGGAGGTAATTGGGAGGGGGCAGAGGACTGCTGCTGCTCCAACTGCTGCATGTGCAGCAGAGAGCCTCGGGGGCTTGGTTTGCCATCAGGCGGGAGTGCTTGCTCAAGAGTGATTGCGAGCGTGCGCAGCACCTCTGCTGCCACCTGCTGTAATGCTTTCGCTCCGAAGTTGGGTTCTTGACCTGCTTGGGCAAGACAAAGTGGGAAGCAGGAAGGATTATCACACGTAATAGCACTCAAGATTTGAAACATTGCAGGTGCCTTAAGCTGGAATCGGTATGGCGCAATGGCTTGGCCTGTTCACCCTGACATACCAATGCACCCTTGGTATGGCGCAATGGCTTGGCCTGTTCACCCTGACATACCAATGCACCCTTGGTATGGCGCAATGGCTTGGCCTACCTGTTTCGTTGCGACGCCGCTCATCCTCGAGGGTTGACTCAGATGGAACGGCGAGGAGTTTTGAGTCGCCTCCATGACCTGCATGACTTGACTCTCTTGTTTCACACTGGCCTGCCTACCTGTTTCATTGCGGCGCCGCTCATCCTCGAGGGTTGACTCTGATGGAACAGCGAGGAGCAGCAGCGGCAGATGAAGGGCCTGGCCATAGGAAGAAGCGCACAGGCCAAGGGGGGAAGGAAGGCGAGGGAGGGACGGGGAGGGATTTTTTAGGCACCTAAATTATCGACTCAATACACGAGCAGCAGGAGGGGCACATAAAGGGCCTGCTCATTGGAAGAGGGGTGCGGGACGAGGGGGGAAGAAAGGGAGGGGGGTGGAAGGGAGAGAAATAACGACTGGCGTTGTCGCACACACAAACAAATCCACCGAATACACCGAATACACCAAATACACCGAATACACCGAATACACCGAATACACCAAATACACCAAATACACCAAATACACCAAATACACCGAATACACCAAATACACCGAATACACCGAATACACCGAATACACCAAATACACCAAATACACCGAATACACCAAATACACCAAATACACCGAATACACCGGATACACCAAATACACCAAATACACCGGATATACATACTCACTCACACGCATGCTTCACCCGCCTGGTTGATCTGCCAGTAGCACATGTCCTGGTCCCCAACGAAGTGGTTGAGGCAGTCAAGAGCAGCAAAGGCCAGCGAGCACCCACTGCCTTTCAGACACCTCAAAGGGGCACACACCAAAAGCATGTATGCACCCGATCCCCACCTGGTTGATCAACCAGTAGCACATGTCTCAGTCACCAGCGAAGTGGTTGAGGCAGTTCAGAGACGCTAAGGCCAGAGAGCACGGCACGCCATCCACTTGTGAGACACCTCAAAACCACATGCATACTCAAAAGCACAAATATGCTCGCCCCACCTGGTTGATCAGCCGGTAGCACATGTCCCGGTCCCCAGCGAAGTGGTTAAGGCAGTCGAGAGCAGCAAAGGCCAGCGAGCAGGGCACCCCATCCGCGCTGCTCTCCCCTGCAGCAGAGCACAGCGCCCACCAGAAGCCCTTGCGCCACCGCACATCGTCCCTCAGCTGCTTTCGTCCCTCCCTGTGGTCAAGAGAGGTTGTGAGGGGTCCAGAGGGGTTAAAATGGATGTGCGAATAAACGGAGTGAAGGAGGTTGCTGCCCCAGCTGCTCTCCCCGGCAGCGAACCACAGCGCCCACCAGAATCCCTTGTGCCACCGCACGTCGTCCCTCGCCTGCTTGCGACCCTCCCTGTAATGGTTATGAGAGGTTATGGTGGTTAATGGGGGGTTTTGGGGGGATGCAAAGGTCACGATGAGCAAACCGCCCACCAGAAGCCCTTGTGCCACCGCACAGCATCACTCAGCTGCTTTTGAGGCGCCTCAAAAGGCGTCACCGCACAGCATCACTCAGCTGCTTTTGAGGTGCCTCAAAAGGCGTCACCGCACAGCATCACTCAGCTGTTTTTGAGGCGCCTCAAAAGGCGTCACCGCACAGCATCACTCAGCTGCTTTTGAGGCGCCTCAAAAGGCGTCACCGCACAGCATCACTCAGCTGCTTTTGAGGCGCCTCAAAAGGCGTCACCGCACAGCATCACTCAGCTGCTTTTGAGGCGCCTCAAAAGGCGTCACCGCACAGCATCACTCAGCTGCTTTTGAGGCGCCTCAAAAGGCGTCACCGCACAGCATCACTCAGCTGCTTTTGAGGCGCCTCAAAAGGCGTCACCGCACAGCATCACTCAGCTGCTTTTGAGGCGCCTCAAAAGGCGTCACCGCACATCATCACTCAGCTGCTTTCGCCCCTCTTTGTAGTTGTGATGGTTGTGGGAGGGAGATGACAGGAGGTTACAAAGGTGCATTGTGAGTTGCATATGTGTGACTTGAAAGTCAAGACTCGCTTGGATGAGGCCGCAAGAGACAGAAGTCACTTAGACGAGGCGGCGCCGACGAGGATGGAGAGGGCGCAGGAGAGGGCAGGATCGAGAGGGGACTTGGCAGGGGAGTCGGGGAAGCTTCCTCGTGGTTGCAATGCATAGTTGCATTGCATACACCTGCAGCACGTGCCTTGTGACCCACGGGACTCACTTGGACGAGGCGGCGAGCTCGAGGATAGAGAGGGCGCAGGAGAGGCTCGAGAGGGGACTTGGCAGCAGGGGAGTAGTAGACGCTGACTTGTGGTTGCATACGTCTGCAGCACGAGCCTTGTGACACACAGGACTCACCTGGACGAGGCAGCAACAGACAGCACTCACTTGGAGGAGGCGGCGAGTTCGAGGATGGAGAGGGCGCAGGAGAGAGCGGGTTCGAGAGGGGACTTGGCAGGGGAGTCGGGGAAGCTTCCGTCCGACTTCACACGTGCTCCACAGGACAGCACGCTTAGGGCGAAGTTGATAGACGGCTGAGATACGTCCGCGTCCCTGTGGAGGAAGGGAGAAAGGGAGGGAGGGAGGGAGGGAGGGAGTGAGGGAGGGAGGGAGGGAGGGAGGGAGGAGGGAAGGTAACGGAGAAGGGATGGGAAGAAAGGGAAGGATGAGGAGATTACAACATTCGGTGAGTAAATCTGTACGCTGATTAATTAAGAGGGCGGGCAAAATACTTTTCCCTGCAATAACACTTAACGCACTTGTCTCCAGTGGAAATTCAGGATTGTAGCAATATGCTGCAATCGTTGGAAAGCCATCTGAAAGCCTCATAAATCCAAAGAAACATTTAGTCAAGACCCCTGACTCACTTGTCTCTGGTAGCCGCAATTCCCCGGAGGATCTTAGCAGCATGCTGCAGGATATCAGCCATTTGAGGCGGGCAGTCGTCCCTCTGAGAGACGCTTGGGTCGAATAAGAACCTTGATGCACAAAACCCTGACTCCTAAGACCCTGACTCACTTGTCTCTGGTAGCCGCAATCCCCCGGAGGATCTTAGCAGCATGCTGCAGGATATCGGCCATCTGAGGGGGGCAGTCGTCCCTCTGAGCGATGCACACACGCAGCGCTGGGGTCGCCATGTCGATCACCACGCTCTCTGCCTCTGCTCCCAGAGGGATCTGTGGGTACCGGTCTAGAATCACTGCCTGGGAGGGGGAAAGAAAAGGGGGAGGCGAGGGGTTGGGGAGAGAGGAAGGTAGGGAGGGGGCAGGGAGGGAAAGCGGGAGATGATTGAAGAGGAAGAATGAGGCAAGAAGCGTTTGAGAAGTCATCCTTCAGAGCGATGCACACATGCAGCGCTGGGGTCGCCATGTCGATCACTACACTCTCCGCCTCTACACAAGGAACCGCGGATAGCAGTCCAGAATCACTGCCTGGGAGGGTGTGGAGAACGGGATGGAGGGAGGGATAGATGCAGGTTTGGAATGTCTGCCTGGGGAACAAGGAAACAGAGAGAGGCAAGGAGAATGCAAGAAACGAGCAACTGAAAGGTGGAAATGGTGTAGAGCCCTTTATCATGGAGTTCGAGGGCCACCTGTGGAATATCCACAACCTAGGAGACTTTGAGTCGACTCAAAAGTCACCTCTTTATCATGGAGTTTGACGGCCACCTGTGGAATATCACAACCTAGGAGGCAGAGGGGCAGAGGCACAGCAGGGCAGCAGATGCGATACCACCTGGGATTCTGATGCAAAGGAACTCCCCCTTTCGATGACAAAACGTCTGATGCTGCTTCCCCCTGATCGCACCTCATCCCTCACCTGCTAACACCCTGACGCACCACTTCTTGGCACCGCATGCCTCACTTGCTAGCACCAGACGCGACACCTGACGTCTCTGTTTTTAGGACCTGACGCCTCACCTGCGCCTTGAGCAGCAGCACGAGCCGCGGGGCTTCCTGGCGCCACGTCACTGCACCACCGCCCCCTGCTGACGTGGCTTGCAGAATGCGCTCGTACTCCTGGGGGGAGGGGAGAAGGGGGACAAATGAAAGGGGGATGGGGGAAGGGGAGATGGGGGAGGGGAGACGGGGAGATGGAAAGAGGGAAGAGGTGTGAGAAGGACAACATTCTCTGCCAAACATGTCACCGCACCACTGCCCCCTGCTGAGGTGGCCTGCGGAATGGGCTCGTACTCCTGGGGAGGGGAGAGCTTACATAATGGGGATGGGTGAAGGGGATATAGGGAAGAGGAGATTTATGGGGCACAGAGGTGAGAGGGAATACAGATTCAGCCACACCACCGCACTGCCCCCTGCTGAGGTGCATGTGGAATGCGCCCATACTCTTAAGCAGAGAGGCAGGTGGGACAGGGAGTGGGGGGGGAATGTGAGGGAACGCAGTTGCTGTTATATCACTGCACCGTTAGACACGTCATTCCATTAGTCAACTCAAGGACTACCAGCCCTCAACTTGGATTCATCACTCCTAGCACCCTCACGCCACTCACCCTGAGCACGCCACTCACCCTGAGCACGCCACTCACCCTGAGCACGCCACTCACCCTGAGCACGCCACTCACCCTCAGCACGCCACTCACCCTCAGCACTCCACTCACCCGCAGCACGCCACTCACCCTCAGCACTCCACTCACCCGCAGCACGCTGTGGTGGAAGGACGTGGAGTCAAACACTTGGTGCGCCGGGAACCTCTCAGCGTCCAGCACGTTGTGTAGATACACCGGTGCCACGAAGATGGTGCCTGGGATGGAAGGGATGGAAGGAAGAAGCATACACACAGAGCAGGCAGAGGAAACATGGACAGTGGAGCTTCTCAGGGTGATGGAAGCACGGTCAAGGGAACATCTCCGCATCCAGCACGTTGTGCAGGTACACCAGTGCCACAAAGACGGTGCCTGCCTCTCAGGGCGCCGAGAGCACTTCAAGAGGCACCTCTCCGCATCCAGCACGTTGTGCAGGTACAGCAGCACAACTGGGATGGTAGGCACCGGCGCAACAAAGACGGTGCCTGCAAAGGGAGAAAGGAAGGCAGAGAGGATGGGAGAGAGGAAGGTGGAAGAAGGAAACATGTTGTCAATTGAGCGTCTCCGAGTGCTGAAATTACACTCAAGGAAACCTCTCCGCGTGCAGCACATTGTGCAGGTACACCAGCACAACTGGGATGGTAGAAGAGGTGACTTTTGAGTCGACTCAATGAAGGACCATTCAGGAAACCTCTCCGCGTGCAACACATTGTGCAGATTCACCACACAAGCACAACGAAGATGTGGTTTTTCTCAAAAGGTAGAGACAGATGCAGAGCGCAGGTAGTCACATCGTGCTGAAAGGAACTTCCACTCAACATGGCAGAACAATGCTTCCAACGCAACCTCTCACACACACACGGGATGGCTTGGGCTCATATACATACTCCTGCCAGCATGGGGTTCACTCAACAAAGCGTTTCATCTCATTCAACTGCCACACCACATCATATCACCGTTCAGGCGTTTCGTCTCGAAAGCAAACCGTTTCATCTAACCATCAGAGCGCCTCAACACTCACCTGCGAGCTCAGGATATACGAGTGGTGGCTTGGGCTCCTACACATACACCGCGTGGGTTTCCCCTCTCCATGCCTGCACTTATGGCTGCAGGTATTTTTTTAGCCGACTCAGACACCAGACCGTCTCAAAGCTCACCTGCAAGCTCAGGATAGATGAGCGGCAGCTTGGGCCCGTACACATAGACCGCGTGAGGGTCCCCTGCCCACTTTCTGAGGCGCCTGCCCACTTTCTGAGGCGCGTCTTAAGCCATCAGGGCGTCTCAAAGCTCACCTGCGAGTTCAGGATACACGAGCGGTGGCTTGGGCTCGTACACATAGACCGCGTGAGGGTCCCCCGCCCGTGCCTGCACGTATGGCTGCAAGTCCGCTTCCAGGAAGCATCGCAGGCGCTCTTTCATGTCTTCGTTCCACACAATCTCGGGCGTGTCTATGTCCTCCGTCTCCAGGTTGGATAGGAACAGCTCCGCGCCCTGAGGTGAGATGAATACATGGGAATACATGTGATGGGACAGGCATAAGGGGGTGAGTTGGTAGTGGAGGGAGGGGTCCACGCACACAATCTCGGGCGTGTCTATGTCCTCCGTGTCTAGATGGATAGGAACAGCTCTGCGCCCTGGGGTGACTGGGGCGGGTCTGGATGGGACAGGCATTAGTAGGATTAGTAGAATTAGTTCTATAGATCGTTTGTAAACTCTTAGTTCTAATTTCACCTGAGGTGAGTGGGGCGGGTATGGATGGGACAGGCATTAGTAGGTCAGTTGGTAGAGGAGGGAGGGAGGGGCCTACACACACACAATCTCCGGCGTGTCTATGTCCTCTGTTTCTAAATTGGACAGAAGCAGCTTTTCTCCCTGAGGTGAGGTGAATACATAGGAGAGGCATTCGTAGTGGAGGGAAGGGGCGCACACTCACTACCTCTGAGTCGACTCAAAAGCATTCGTAGTGGAGGGAAGGGGCGCACACTCACTACCTCTGAGTCGACTCAAAAGCATTCGTAGTGGAGGGAAGGGGCGCACACTCACTACCTCTGAGTCGACTCAAAAGCATTCGTAGTGGAGGGAAAGGGCGCACACTCACTACCTCTGAAGCGGGAAGGAAGAAGCTGTGGGCATATTTTAACCGCACTCACAATATGCCTCTCTCCCCACACCTAACACAGCGGCCTCGAACCTTTTAACAAAAGAGCTTCGGGACTAGCCCAGCAGGGAGGCTGAAGCTGTAGCATGCCCTAAGAATCCTCATCTCACAAAGCGCATCCCTCACCGTGCGCTGCAGCAGCAAGCCCCGCACCTCTTGAATGAGCTCCGGGACGAGCCCAGCAGGGGGGTACGGGAAGAGAATGCTTTGAGCATGATGTAGGAATGATCTCACCAAACCCAGCCAGCAAGCAGCAAGCAGCCTCGTACACACCTCTTGAATGAGCTTCGAGACGAGCCCAGCAGGGAGGTACAGCCGGAGAATGCTCTCGTGCCACGGCAGATGCTCCACCACCACTAGCCCCTTCACTGGCGCATGCTCTAAGGCGGATGGGTCCTGTGAGAGGGAAAGAACGAGGAGGAGCATGAAGAATAGGACAGGCATAGCTGAGAATGCTCTCATGCCATGGCAGATGCTCCACCACCACCAGGACCTTCACTGGCGCATGCTCCAACGCGGATGGGTCCTGCAAAAACAAAAAAGTGAGGGTGGGAACGAGGAGGAGGAGCATGGAGGACAGTATAGGACCATTTGAGGACCAGTTGAGGACCAGTTGAGGATGCTCTCGTGCCACGGCAGATGCCTTACCACCACCAGGCCCTTCACAGGCACGTGCTCTAAGGCCGATGGTTCCTGTGAGGGTGAGAGGGACAGAAAGAGAGCGAGGAATGGCATAAGGAATGTGTTAGGACCACTTCAGAACGATCTCATGCCACAACAGATGCCATGGCAACTGGTCTTGTGACATAGATTTGCTGCTCGCTGAGAATTATGTCACAAGACCAATGTGTAAGGACCACTTGAGAATGCTGTCATGCCACTGCAGATGCTCCACCACCACCAGCCCCTTCACTGGCGCATGCTCTAAAGCGGATGGGTCCTGTCAGGGCAAGGGAGAGGGGCTGAGATCGAACAAGAGGAGGGGCATGGATAGGAAGACGGGATCAGATCAGATTGATACGAAATACGAGTGCAGTCATAGCGAGGGGTGCAGTCATAGCGAGTCACGATTGATGTTGTTGTAACACGGAGAAAAACAGGCCCCCAGACCCTAGATTGCAGATCCCCCCAACCCTAAGAACCAACCCCTAAATCTTTAAAACCAGCATCCAGCCCTAAAAAACAGCCCCTGAAACCTATAAAGATACCCTGAACCTGCCTGCCGGAGGTGCGTGCGAGCGAGGAACTTGAGGATGCACGTGCGCTCGTCGTGGCTGATGTCCCCCGCCGCCACCTTCCACAGCAGCATGGGAGGAGGCACCCAGGCCAGCTGCTGGCTAACCCCTGCCATAACCCCGAAACCCAAAGAACCAAACCCTGCCATCTGGCCCAAACAATAAACCCTTGGACATGCCTGCAGGAGGTGCGTTCGCACGAGGAACTGGAGGATGCGGGTGTTGTCGTTGTGGTTGATGCCGCCCGCCTGCCACCACCTTCCACAGCAGCAACCTTGCTAACCTTAGCTAAACTTAAACCCTCTAAACCTCAAACCTACAACCACAACGTAGACCTGCCTGCAGGAGGTGTGTGCGGGCAAGGAATTTGAGGATGCGGGTGCGGTCGTCGTGGCTGATGTCTCCTGCCACCACCTTCCACAGCAGCATGGGGAAGCACCCAAAGCGGCATAGCTCACTCGCCGCCTGCTTGTTGCCGCGGCACATGATGGACAGCACCTCGAGAATCCTGGTGGCAGGGGGGAGGTGTTGGGGGAAACATTCAGAATACTTAAGGAGACGAGACGGCGTCTTTGGAAGAGGCGCAGCTCATTCGACGCCTGCTTGTTTCCCCGGCACAGGATGGACAGCACCTCGAGAATACTGGTTGTGAGGTGAGATGGGGAAGGGTAAGGGGGAAAAGTTTCAGAGCAACAGGAGGGATGGCACTTTCAAAGTGTGCAGCTCACTGGCCGCCTGCTTGCTGCAGCGGCACAGTATGGACAGCACCTCAGGAATCCTGGTGGGAGTAATCTAGCAACGGTAACAAGTCTTTACCAAGGGCAGTCTCTTTAAAGCGAGGCAGAGGATTGGCTGCCTGCTTCACGCCGTGGCACAGAATGGACCAATGTTTGAGCTGACTCAAATTTTGGCCTACTGCATGCGGTTTTCATATTGAAGAAGCTCATGGCCACCTGCTTGATGTTGCTGTGACACAGAATGGACAGCACCTTCAGATCCCGGTTGCAGTTTTGTAGAAACTGCATGAATTCGGAATTCTCCAATGAGCCAGCTTCAGCTGGCTGATGCTACAAAACGGAATTCCCCGGGGGCTAAGTGAAACGGCTCCTTAGTGTGTCGTTCTGACCTCCTGAAGGTGGGGAGTGTTGGCTATGTGAAACGGTTAGCTAGTGTCATTCTCACCTCCTGAAGGTGGGGGATTTTTTAAAGAAAAGTACTAATATTAATAATAATAATTATTATTATTATTATTATCTCAAAACCCGCTCTCGAGGGGCTAGGAAAAACGGCTCGTTAGAGTCATTTTCACTCACCTCCTGAAGGTGGGGGACTTGGCCCGCAGCAGGAGCTGCACGAGGCTGCACAACAGCTCCGGCCGAGCCAGGTCCTCCAGAGGAAGGGGCGGTGGGTACCTCTCCAAGCCTCCCGGCACCTCAGTGACACTGCAGAGGAGGGAAGGGAGTGGGTGAAGGGGGGAGTGGGTGAAGGGGGGAGAGAGACAAGGAACAGGAAGGGCGTACATTAAGCCAGAGGCTGGGGGTACAGCTTAGGCTTCCCAGCACATCAATAACACTGCAGAGGAGGGGGAGGGAAGGGCATAGTCGTGGGCAAGGGGTCGTGTGAGTCAGCTGAAAAAGACCAACATCGCTCTCTCTCTACAACGGCCATCGGTAGTCGCACGTGACATGCCACTTTGTGTGCTAGGCTAGATATGAGTCCACTCGAGAATGCACACAGAGCAAAGGCACTCACTCCAGGACTGTTTCCAGCAGCTCCAGCGCCATCCCCAGCTGCAGCTTCTCATCCTGCCACTTGATCACTGAACCTAACGCTCATCACACTCACATTAAGTCCCACACCAACTCACTGCCCACCGTCCTCACTCTAGAACGGTCTCCAGCAGTCTAAGTGCCATTCCCAGCTGCAGCTTCTCATCCTGCCACTTGATCACTGAACCTAACGCTCATCACACTCACATTAAGTCCCACACCAACTCACTGCCCACCGTCCTCACTCTAGAACGGTCTCCAGCAGTCCAAGTGCCATTCCCAGCTGCAGCTTCTCATCCTGCCACTTGATCACTGAACCTAACGCTCATCACACTCACATTAAGTCCCACACCAACTCACTGCCCACCGTCCTCACTCTAGAACGGTCTCCAGCAGTCTAAGTGCCACCCCCAGCTGCAGCTTCTCCGGTGCGTTCTCATCCTGCCACTTGATTGCATCCCTAGAGTCCACGCTGCCCATCTTGGCAACTCACAAGAGCAGCTCTGAGAACTCTACAAGAGCAACTCACTCTAGGACGGTCTGAAGCAGTCCCAGCGCCATGCTCAGCCGGTCCCTGGATTGGAGACATTACAAGAACTCAAAGAGGAGAACCACTCACTCTAATACAGTCTCCAGCACCTCTAGCGCCATTCCCAGCTGTAGCTTCTCGGGCACGCTCTCATCCTGCCACTTGATCGCATCCCTCGCCTCCACACTTTCCCCGTGATGAACAGTGCTCTCCCCTCCACCTTTTCCATCGCACTCACTCTATGATAACCGCGTCGTCCGCATTCCCAGCTAAATTTGAGTCCATCCAATAATTCCCAAATGGGGGGGGGGGAAATAAGACTCACTCTAGGACAGTTTCCAGCAGTTCAAGAGCCATCCCCAGCTGTAGCTTCTCCGGCACACTCTCATCCTGCCACTTGATCGCATCCCTCGCCTCCACGCTCCCCCCGTGATGAACAGTGCTCGCGCCGCCCTCCTTCGCCTGCCGCCCAGACGGCACGCGCGCCATCCGCACCTCGCCATCCGCTCCCACCACCGGCACCACCTCGATCGCCCCTCGGTCTTTCACACTCGGCGCATCACACTCAAACAGAGTCTCGTCCTTGCAGCACTGGGGGGTGGGGGGTAGAGAGAAGTGGGGGAGACGGAGGGGAAAAAAGAGGCTCAGGCATCTACACCTCGCCGTCCGCCCCCACCACCAACACCACCTCAATCGCCCTCAATCCTTCACACTCGGTGAGCAGCATTCAGAAAGAATCTCGTCCTTGCAGCGCTGGAGTGGGGGGGAAGAGGGCGGGGAGAAAGGGGGAGGAGAAGGGAGGGGTTGAGGCATACGCACCTCACGATCTGCTGCACAACCGGCACCAGTTTGATCACCCCTCGGCCCATCCCGGTTGACCATGAGGGGCAGGATGATGAGCACGCCTCCTGCCTTAACGAACCAAGACACAGACAAATTGGTTGTGCCTCACTCCCTACCCTTCCTGCTCTCCATCCTCCTACCCTTCCTCCACTCCCTGCCCCCCTCCCCTCTGCTCCCACCCACCAGCCAAAGCATCCACCTTAAAGAGAGAGTTGACCATGAGCGGAAGGATGATGGACATACCTCCCTCCCCACATTCACAGACCAAGGTATGGCACACCTGGCCCTGTCCCACTCCCGCCCGTCCTTCCCCTCCTTTAATGCACCTACTCTCCACCAGTCCACACCATCCACCTTGGCGAGCGAGTTGACCATGAGAGGCAGGATGATAGACATGCCTCCCGCCTTCAAGCCCTACCACACTCATATCCCATCCATTCTCCCTTCCCCGTTTCCCACCCTCTGCAACCCACCTTGGCGAGCGAGTTGACCATGAGAGGCAAGATGATAGGCATGCCTCCCGCCTTCAAGCCCTACCACACTCATATCCCATCCATTCTCCCTTCCCCGTTTCCCACCCTCTGCAACCCACCTTGGCGAGCGAGTTGACCATGAGGGGCAGGATGATAGACATGCCTCCCGCCTTCAAGCCCTACCACACTCATATCCCATCCATTCTCCCTTCCCCGTTTCCCACCCTCTGCAACCCACCTTGGCGAGCGAGTTGACCATGAGGGGCAGGATGATAGACATGCCTCCCGCCTTCACGAACCGGGAGACGGCGGGGCGACCAGCCCTCTCGAGAATGATGCACAGCAGAAGCAGCGACTTGAATGCAAACACCACGTGGTCGTTGTCTATGGCCTCACGCAGCATCGCCACAAAGAGCTGAGGGTCCAATTGGTAGGAAGAAAGGCATGCAAGGGGAACAGATAGGGCTCAGAACGAGCAGCAGCAGCAGCAGCGACTTGAAGGCGAACACCACGTGGTCGTTGTCTATGGCCTCCCTCAACATCGCCACAAAGAGCTGGTGGACAGGAGGAGGGAGAAAGATACGATAGGGAGGAAAACGGGATTCAGGGTGTTCAGGGTGAGCAGCAGCAGCAGCAGCAGCAGCAGCAGCAGCGACTTGAAGGCAAACACTACATGGTTGTTGTCGATCGCCTCTCATAAAGTCGCCACAAAGAGCTGGTGGAGAGAGGGGGCGACAGGAGATTGTAAGGGGGGCAGGGGGTTCAGAAGAAGCAGCAGCGACTTCAATGCTGCATTATGTGATGCAGCAGCGACTTAAATGCTGCATTATGTGATGCAGCAGCGACATAAATGCTGCATTATGTGAAGCAGCAGCGACTTCAATGCAAACACCACCCTGTAGTTCTGTTACCAATGGCCTCCCTTCGCATGTGTTTTGAGTCGACTCAAAACAGTTCTGTTACCAATGGCCTCCCTTCGCATCGCCACAAAGAGCTGCGGGTTTGTGGGGGGAGGAAGACATTCATACAAGGGGAAAAAGGGGGTTCAAAACGAGCAGCAGGAGCAGCAGCTGCATTCACTCACAACCCTTACCTTTCTACCCGCTCTCAACAAAAACCCCCGCCACGCATCTCCACGACATGCAAGTTCTCCAGCACGCCTCGGATCTCCCCCTCATGCCGCTCATACATCCACGTGAGGGCGACCACTCCAACCCCACCACCCCTAACCCCAAACCCCTCTCCCTCTGCTACTCATCTCTCTTCCACTCCACTCACCTCCACCACGTGCAAGTTCTCCACCACGCCGCGAAGCTCCCCCTCATGCCGCTCGTACATCCACGTCAGCGCATCTACCGCCAGACGCGGCTCGATCTCGGGCAGCTCGCACGTGCCGTAGAGCGGCGTGAAGCAGAGCAGCAGCGCCTGCAGCGTGGCGGTGAAGAGAGCTGCTGGGTCGTCCAGCTTCCAGTGGGCCGCTAGAGCCGGGGAGGAGTCGTCAGAGGGCTGTAACAGGACCTCTAGGTGAACCCCCTCCACTATGGTCTTGCACACGTCTGGGGAAATAGGAAGTGAGGGGGGAAGGAGAAAGGGTAGCGGAAATGAGGAGGTTGAGGCGAAGGGTCATCGAGTCCAGCTTCCAGTGGGCCGCTAGAGCAGGAGAGGAGTCGTCAGAGGGCTGTAGAAGCACCTCTAGATGCACCCCCTCCACTATGGCCTTGCACACGTCTGGGGAACCAGGAAGGGAAGAGGAGGAAAGGGAGAAGGAGGGTAGCAGGAAAGAGGAGGTTGAGATGAAGAGGGTCGTCCAGCTTCCAGTGGGCGGCTAGAGCCGGGGTGAGTAGTCGTCAGATGCCTGGAGGAGGAGCACCTCAAGATGCACCCGCTATATTGGTGCGACTTTTGAGAATTCTCAAAAGTCGCACCTCAAGATGCACTCCTGCCCTGCCATTATCGTTACTGGCAGGGGTGTAGCAGCACTTGCAGTCGTCGGTGCTGAAGTGAACATCCTTGCCTCCTCCAATGCTCCTCTGGAGACTACACCTTCCACTCCACACGAACTCACGCACCATTGTCGTTACTGGCAGGGGTGCAGCAGCACTCGCAGTCGTCCGTGTTGAAGGGAACGTGAATGCCCTTGCAAGTTGCCACATCTCTAGCCTGCCAATAGTTCCCCCCAGCCCCATCATCCCACCACGCACTCACGCACCATTGTCGTTACTGGCAGGGGTGCAGCAGCACTTGCAGTCGTCAGTGTTAAAGTGAATGCCCTTGCCTCCTCTCCTTTGCCTGTAGGGTCCCTGACCTGTCTAGCCACTCGCCGTCATCCCACCCACCGCTCACTCACTCACCATTATCATTATTAGCAGGGGTGTAGCAGCACTCGCAGTCATCTGTGTTGAAGTGAATATCTTGCCTCATCTCGTTTGCCTCTAGTTCCCCACCCCATCATCCCACCACTCACTCACTCACCGTTATCGTTACTGGCAGGGGTGTAGCAGCACTCGCAGTCGTCTGTGTTGAAGTGAATGTCCTTGCCGCCCCCCGTCCGCCCCAGGGCTGCATCAAACGCCTCCACCTGCTCCTTCAGGTACTGCCAGGGCGAGCATGCACAAGTGTGTGTGATACATGTGTTTGAGATGCCATGCGTGCAGGTGTGCATGTGTTTGAGATGCCATGCGTGCAGGTGTGCATGTGTGTGCCTCTGTTCGCCTCCCGTCCACCCCAAGGTTGCAAACGCCTCCACCTGCTCCTTGAGGTACTGCCAGGGCGGAAACGCATAGGTGGGTGGGTACAGTGTCATGTCATGTGCGTGAGTTAGTATGCATGCATGCAAACACATGCACCACGCCAGCCAGCAGGGGCATGGTGATGCTCCTCTCCTTCTCCTCAGCATGGACGCATTACCCATGCATGCCGTGCGCACCTACCTTCAGCACTGAGCCCTTCAGCACTTGAACCCATTCCCACTCACCGCATGTAATGTAACTCGTGCCTCTTGGCATCGTTCCACACCAGCACAGGTGTCGTGATGCTCCTCCTACTCCTCCTCCTCAGCAAGAAAGCGTGGACTATGCGTGGTACATACATACAGCAATCAGCCCTTCACCAGCTCAATATTCAGCCCTCCCCACTCACCGCATGAAGCTCATGTCTCTTGGCATCATTCCACACCAGCACGGGGGTCGTGATGCTTTTCCGCCTCAGCATGAATGCAGCGCCCGTGCATGGTACATTCAGTACATTCATAAATCAGCAAATCACCAGTTCAACCTTCCCCACTCACCGCGTGCAGCTCGTGCCTCTTGGCGTCGTTCCACACCAGCACCGGCGTTGTGATGCTTCTCCGCCTCAGCATCTCCAGCGCCTCCTTCCACACCCCCAGCGCCACCACACCCCCCAGCCCTCCACTCCCACCCCCCATCCCCACCGCTCCCCCACTGCCTTCTCCCGCAGCAGTCCCGCTTCCCGGTGCTGTGCCGGTGGTTGTGCTGGCTGTGGCTGCTGCTGCTGCCGCTGCTGCCACTGCTGCTGCGACTTTGAGCCCGGATGCAAGGGTAGAGCTTGCGCCGCCTGCTGCGGCAGCTTTGGCAGCCTCCTGTTGGGTTGGGACGAGAGGGAAACAAATAGGAAAAAGGTTTGAGAAGTAAATTGAAGCAATGACCTCTTGCCATTGCTGCTGCTGATGCTGCTGCTGCTGCCACTGCTGCTGCCACTGCTGCTGCCACTTAGAGGCCGGAAGCTAGGGTAGAGCTAGCGCCGCCTGCTGCTGCGGTTTTGGCTGCCTCCTGTTGGGTTGGGCCGACATGGCAATCGCAAACATATAAGAAATAATCAGTATCAAAAAATTAGTATCGAAGTAAAAGTGAGGTGGAGCCAGCACACCCTGCTGCTGCTGCTGCTGCTGCTGCTGCTGCTGCTGCTGCTGCTGCTGCTGCCTTGGCCTGCTCCCGTTGGGTTGGTCGAGGTGGCACTCCAACACACGGGAACAATTTGACTTCTACAGCCAAAATTCCCCATCATGCTAAAATTCACTCGAGTCGACTTCTGAAAAGAACTTCACCACACTGAACCTAGATCTAAACCTTCTCATTCGTCGTTCTAGAACACGACCTGAAGCTTCAAACCTCGAAACATTCTACTCAACTTACAGTCCCTCTCCCCGGTCGAGCTTACCTCAAGCTCAGCCTTTCTCGCAGCTTCTGTCTTGTCTTTCAGAACAAAAAAGAAACCCTGCAGCAAGAGTTCAAAATGATGAGGACGGAGGGAGGGAACAGATTAGAGTGTGAAAGACCAACGCTAGTTACACTGAAGCTCAGTAGCGAAGCATCCCGTGTATCCCCCAAGTAGAAAGAAATACACTGGCCTGTGTCGATCTCGGCATAAGGAAACAGCATCTGCGCACTGACTGACACTCATAATGGCTTTGTAGTATCACTCAGTGCTGTCCAGCCATGACGCATGACGCATGAGGCACACCTTGGGAAGCAGGTTCGCCAGCAGTTGCTGTGTTTTGGCGTCGCTCTCAGCAATGAGGAGCAGCAGTTCCGCACTGACTGACACTAAGGCACGGTGCATGAAATAAAGCCCACCTTGGGGAGCAGGTTCGCCAGCAGGAGCTGCGTTTTGGCATCGCTCTCAGCAATGAGGAACAGCAGCTCTGCGCTGACGTCCCTCGCCCTCTCCAGCTTATTGAACAGTGCGTTCTTCAGCAGCAGCAGCACCACTGCACGGGATAGGATCACCGTCTGGACGGAATCGAGGGAGCGTGGTAAGGAAGAGAGAGCAGGACTGAGCATGGTTGTGTCACTTGACATTCTTCGCCCTCTCCAGCTTGTTGAACAGTGCGTTCTTCAGCAGCAGCACCACCACCGCACGGGATAGAATCACAGTCTTTGTAGAATGGAATGGAGGGAGTGTGGTAAATAATGTGGTGAGAGAGAGACTGAGCATGACAGTGCCCACTGACGTCCCTCGCCTTCTCCAGCTTGCTCAACAGCGCTTTTTTGGCAACAGCGCTTTTTTGGCAACAGCGCTTTTTTAGCAACAGCGGTACCACTGCGAGGAAAAGAAACACAATCACGGCCTGGATGGACAAGAAACACAATCACGGCCTGGATGGAAAAGCGAGAGAGTGCGGTTGGAATAAAGTGCAGAATAAAGTAAGAAGGGGGGGGGGTGACAGAAAGGAAAGAAGCGACTTACAGGTGGCCAGATCCATTTGAGGCGCCATGAAAGGCACATGCAATGCGTGCACATGACACATGGCACACGAGACATGGCACGTAACAAAAAGCACATGACAGACACATGCCACATGGCACATGACACGTGGCACTGGCACAGCATGGTCCGCCCACAGGCAACAAATGAGACATGTTACCCTACCCTGAAGCGCGTGATGAAGGCAGGCGAGCAGCGTGTGAATATGGTCTTGATCAGCAGCGCATTGCTGGTGAGGGGAGAGCAGGGGCATTGAGGGAAATACCGAGAGCATGGAGACGGATACTTGGGGGAGAGGTTGCGGGTGGAGAAGGGGAGGGGAGACTGGGGTATGGGAGCCATATCGAATACAGAGAATGGTTGGAAGAAAGAAAGAAGAGGGCGAATGAAACTGAAATTGACGGAGAGAAAGGGGGGGCCTTGTGTGGGGTAGTGGAAGAGGGGGGGTGGGAGGGATATGGAGAGGGAGACGTATGGCAGAAGCAACAGAGAAGGTACACTCAGGATGCAGCATTCACAGTGTACAAAGAAACAAGCACATAGACGCGCACACACACACACAAGCACACGCATGCACACACACACACACACACACACACACACACACACACACACACACACACCACTCACAACCACAATCAACACCCAAACCCCACCCACCCACACACACACACACACACACACACACACACACACACACATACACACACACACACACACCCACCTGCAGTACATAATGTTGCTGCGGCTCCGGGAAATGGCACTGATGACGTCAGCAGCCACGAGCAGAGAGCTCTCAAGGGTCTGATGGGCGATGGGCGTGGGCAGATGGAATATGGGCAGATGGAATATGGGCAGATGGAATATGGGCAGATGGAATATGGGCAGGTAAATTGGTAGCTGAAATGCACATTCGTTGCTAATGTCGCTCTAGTGAATGTTCCGTGTGACATTCAGTCCTGGAGGCACCAAAATTATAGCCCACCTCACCTTCATCCACCCTTCACCTCCTTCCACGCCTCTATCTGAATCCGTGTTGAGAGATGTCTGAAGCTAACAGCAGCAGCAACAGCACGCCTCACCTCACCTCACCTCCATCCAGTGTTTCTCTGCCTCGGCATCAGACGAGGGCGGCAGGTGCAGCGCGAGAGTGAGGATCTCCAGAATGCCTTGCACCTGTGGGGCATAGGGGGGTGGGATGCAGGAGTGGTGGTAGAGGGAGGGAAGAAACGTCTCTCAGGCGCCTCGAAGTTGCTTCTGCTGAACGTGCTTCTGCTGAGCTTTGAGCTCCAGAATGCCTTGCACCTTGTGAATGGGAGTGGGAGGGAGGGGGTGCACCGTGCACACACCACACACATATGGGAAGGATTCAGAAGCTCATTGCAAATACTGACGTTTAAGAAGGAAACAAACAGGGTTTGTCAGCACGCACTGTGCACCACAAACATATTGAAATACCACAATCAACTCAACCTTCAAAATACCTGCATATTAAAAGCATATACTCACGTCTCAAGTCCAAGATTCCACAGACCACAAAGTAAGAACACTCTATATCCTGGTAGCGCAATTCACACACCTGCAATGCATTCTGGTGCACGAGGGCGTCTGTCTGCAGCTGAGCCACCAGCACCAGGAGCAAGGTCAGACACAGTATAAGGTAGCCATTACCGCACCTCCCCTTTCACACACACACACCTGCAGTGCATTCTGGTGCACGAGGGCGTCTGTCTGCAGCTGAGCCACCAGCACCAGGAGCAAGGTCAGACACAGTATAAGGTAGCCATTACCGCACCTCCCCTTTCACACACACACACCTGCAGTGCATTCTGGTGCACGAGGGCGTCTGTCTGCAGCTGAGCCACCAGCACCAGGAGCAAGGTCAGACACAGTATAAGGTAGCCATTACCGCACCTCCCCTTTCACACACACACACCTGCAGTGCATTCTGGTGCACGAGGGCGTCTGTCTGCAGCTGAGCCACCAGCACCAGGAGCAAGGTCAGACACAGTATAAGGTAGCCATTACCGCACCTCCCCTTTCACACACACACACCTGCAGTGCATTCTGGTGCACGAGGGCGTCTGTCTGCAGCTGAGCCACCAGCACCAGGAGCAAGGTCAGACACAGTATAAGGTAGCCATTACCGCACCTCCCCTTTCACACACACACACCTGCAGTGCATTCTGGTGCACGAGGGCGTCTGTCTGCAGCTGAGCCACCAGCACCAGGAGCAAGGTCAGACACAGTATAAGGTAGCCATTACCGCACCTCCCCTTTCACACACACACACCTGCAGTGCATTCTGGTGCACGAGGGCGTCTGTCTGCAGCTGAGCCACCAGCACCAGGAGCAAGGTCAGACACAGTATAAGGTAGCCATTACCGCACCTCCCCTTTCACACACACACACACCTGCAGTGCATTCTGGTGCACGAGGGCGTCTGTCTGCAGCCGAGCCACCAGCACCTGCAGGTTGTCGCCACTCAGCACCACGTGCTTGTTGGCCGCCTCCTGTGGCATCAGGGGCGGGAGAGGACAGGTTCAATATAAGGGAACGCGTTACCAGATGCTTCATCCAATGGTCATGGTCACCAGCAGCACCTGCAGGTTGTCACCACGCAGCGCCCAGCTTATTTATAAAGCAAGCACTCAACATGCCTGAACCGACCCATTTGAAGAACTCACCGCATGGGCAGGCCAGGCTTGCATGAGGAAGGAGGAGGTGGTGGAGGCTCTGGCAGCAGCAGGGGAGTCAGGAGCGGGTGAGTCAGCTGAGTAGTGCTTTATGGCTGCACGGATCGTGTTGGCTGCTGCAAACGCCACCACGGACGATGGGTGCTTGAGGGCCTGGATTGAGCAGGTGGGTAGGCACGGGAAAAGATGGGGAAGACAGAGGAAAGGTATGTGTGTTGTGACGCATCACAGGTAGATAGCTGCCCAGATGTCTTCCCGGTCATGGATCATGGGTCAAATGGCAAGGAGGGCGCACCTTGATGAGGATGCTGATGAAGACTGGGTTGGACTTGACCGACTGAAACATGCCCCGGGTGCCTTTCTAGTCTGCTTGAGAGACGATGCATGCGTAGAGGCAGAGGGCGCCTTTCTGGCCATGGGGCAAAGAGGGCGCACCTTGACAAGGATGCTGATGAAGTCTGGGTTGGCCTTGACTGACTCAAACACGCAGTGCTTGCCTTTCTGCTTGAACATTCCTAAGAGAAGATGCATAGCTGCAGGGAGTGTCGCCAGGAGTGCAAGGGCAACCGCAAGGGCACACAGCGCACCTTGATGAGGATGCTGATGAAGTCTGGGTTGGACTTGACCGACTCAAACACGCCCCGCGTGCCCAGCAACCGCTGCACCACTGAGCAGCACGTCACCGCGTACGATGCTCCCAGCCCTGGCTTCAAGTCTGCCGTGATGGTACGTGTGGATGCATCATGCATGCATACATACATGTCGACATGCACAGCACACATGTTGACATGCACACATGCATGGATGCCGATCATACACAAAATGCGCATGACCGTGCACACACACACACACACACACACACACACACACACACACACACACACAGCCAAGGAGACAAAACAATGAGATGACGGGAGGGAACTTCGTATGTTACAACCATTGCGTAACACTCACTCCTCAGGAGTCACACATCCCAAAACCCAGAACTCACCCAGGCTGGCTCGGAGCACAAACACAGCCTCACTCACCCAGGCCCGTGACACCTCTGGCTAGAGAGCTCTGGGGAGCACCACACGCCACACGAACCGACTAACTCACTCACCCAGGCTGGCTCGGAGCATCTCGGCGACAGCAAGCATGGGGCGCGCGTCGATGCAGAGGGAGTCGCCGGGGTGCATGTTGCAGGCGTACTCCTTCACCATGGGCAGCCACTGCGCCACCACATCCGCCTGCGTCAGCTCCGAGAGGTTCTCCCGGTGCGCCAGGAACACCGTCATGAAGCGCGCTATCAGGTAGATCTCGTACTCGTTCTGCCAGGAGGGCGAGGGGAAGAGGGAATGAAAACACCGACCAAGGACATTGGGGAGAATTGAAGGGGAATGGAGTGAGCAGTGTGGTAAGCACATGAGGGGCGCTGGCTGGCTGCTGCAGGTGCGCCAGGAACACCGTCATGAAGCGCGTTATCAGGTAGATCTCGTACTCGTTCTGATGCGGTGGGGAGAAGTAGAGGGGAGGATGGAATGACTTGTGTTAAGTCATGAGGTTCACTGGCAGGCTTGATTTGCTGCTGTTAGTGCGCCAGGAACACCGTCATAAAGCGCGCTATCAGGAATATTTCAATGGAATGGAGTCGACGGCACCGTCAACCACCGTCGATCATTGACCTGCTGACCCCCCCGGGCAGAAAAAAAAACTAAAAACCCCTCGGATGGCATGCACCCGAGAGAGGCATCAACCCTAAACACCATGCGACAAGGTGTTTAGGGTTGATGACATCCTGACCGGATGCCCTTCCACAGGGGGAGGGGGGGGGGTGGTGGGGGGGTTTGCCCACGGGCAGCGAGCTCCGTTGGGCGGAGTCAATTGTCCGTTAAGGTATATCAAGAGGTAGATCTCGTACTCATTCTGCCGTGGTTGGGTGGGAGGAGAACAGGAGGGGGGGTGTTGGAAAGATGGAGCGAGCTGCAAAATTACTACTGAGCGAGACACTGGTTTTTTTTTTCCCTCAAACAAAGGTTTCCATTTTCGTCTTACTCCAAACCCACGCACCTGATAGAGAGGCAAGGGTTTCTCTGGCAGAGTGTGCTGCGCGAAGGGCTCAAGGCGGACGGAGAAGTTGCGGGCCTTGGCGTGGCTGGCGACCTCCGCCAGGCTGCCCACGAGCGCCTCCCTGTCCGCCACACAGTACTGCGTCGCGCGCCACCCACTCAGCTCCACTATCACCTCGCTCTCGTTCTTGTCCGACACCACCAGTCCCAGGATGTCGCTCAGACTGGTGGGCGGGCACATGTGAGCATAGGCCAACGAGCAGCAAGAGGAGCGCATAAAAATGGGTTAGACGTGGGAACAGAGGGAGCCACCCACTCAGCTCCACTATCGCCTCGCTCTCGCTCTTGTCCGACACCACCTTGTCCGACACCACCAGCCCCAGGATGTCGCTCAGACTGCTTGGACAGAGGTGGGTACAAAACACACCACGGCAGCATGGGGCAAGGAGCAGCAAGAGAGGTGGATAGAGTTGGGTTAGACGTGGGAACAGAGGGAGCCACCCACTCAGCTCCACTATCGCCTCTCTCCTCGCTCTTGTCCAACACCACCAGCCCTAAGATGCCGCTCAGACTGGTGGGTAGCGGGGCAATGAGCAGCAAGAGGGGTGCATAGCGTTGCGTTAAGCACACAGCAAGGGAGGCACTACCCACCCACCCACCCAATGTACCTTCACTCCTCTCCTTATGTTCATTTTTCGTCTCTCACCTTTGACAGCCAATTATCTCTGACATGAACTCCTTGGTCAGTTGCTGCCCACGTGCCCACCCATCCTTACAGTGCTCTCATCTCGTCTCTCACCTGTGTAGTGCAATCACGTGGCTGCCAGTCATCTCCGCCATGAACTCCTTGGTCAGTTCGCGCCCACATGCCCACCCACGGTACTCTACCTTCCCCCCCTTGTAATCACACCCCTTATGTTCTCTTTACATCTCTCACCTGTGCAGCGCAATGACGTGGCTGCCAGTCATCTCCGCCACAAACTCCTTGGTCAGTTCAGTTGCTGCCCACATGCTCACACTCGAGCACCAGATCATACTTCGTACTCCCACTCACCTGTGCAGCGCAATCACATGGCTGCCAGTCATCTCAGCCATGAACTCCTTGGTCAGAACGAGCGTCCTCACGCCCACCCACTGTGATCCTCTACTCCTCACGCCCACCCACTGTGATCCTCTACTTCTAGTCACATCCCAGCAGTGCTCTCACTCACCTGTGCAGCGCGATCACATGGCTGCCAGTCATCTCCGCCATAAACTCCTTGGTCAGCACGAGCGTCCTCTCCCTCTGCATGCCACTCGCAGGGTCGTTGTTCTTCACCACCGAGAACTCGTACAGCACAGGGGACGCGCGCTGGTGGGAAGGGGGGTTGAAGGAGAGGAGGCAAAAGAAGAATCTCATCAGGGTCCTCTCCTCTTCCTGCTGGCAGGGTCGTTGTTCTTCACCACCGAGAACTCGTACAGCACAGGAGACGCGCGCTGGTGGGGGGAGTGCGGGCAGAGGAGTGGATGATAGTCGCGCGCACTTGAGATGGGTGACTACAATGACACCGCAAGGGGTATCGGCTCCTCTCCCTCTGCATGCCACTGGCGGGGTCGTTGTTCTTCACCACTGAGAACTCGTACAGCACAGGGGACGCTCGCTGCAGAGGGGGGGGTTGAAGGGGTGCGGAGGGGGCGATGGTGAGGAAAGAGTGGCACTGCCTGACAGGACACCACAAGGGGCATCCCCTTCGTTGAGGTGTATTTTGAGGCGCCTCAAAATACACCGCAATGCTTAGGTGGCAATGGTGAGGAAAGAGTGGCACTGCCTGACAGGACACCACAAGGGACATCCCCTTCTCTCCCTCTGCATGCCACGGCAGGGTCGTTGTTCTTCACCACTGAGAACTCGTACAGCATAGACAGTACGAGAGAAGCAGGTAGCTCACCAGTGACTCAGCCCTTGCGTTGGTGACTATGAGGATCTCCTCCCCTGTGACTCGCTGCACCGGGATGTGCTTTTGCAGGTACATCTGCCACACCACACCACACCACACCACACACACCAAGATGGGACAGGACAGACCCAAGCGCCCACATGCACGAGTTAAACAGATCAGGAGAGTGGCTGTGCCTTATACTGTTTCAACAGACAGCACGAGTGCCTAACTTAAATGTGACAACAAAACCAGCAAGCAGATGAAACAACACATGAGGCTGCGATTGCATAGACCCACAGTACAGCCATGTGCAGTTGGGCATGCGTGCATGTGTGACTGCATGCAAGTGTGACGAATGGCTGATGTGACTTCAACCAAGCGTGCGTGCACCTCCCTACGCTAACAGCCTCGAGATCTCTTCAGGGTCAACCGTTGAAACCCACTTGTCGCCTATCCATCCATCTGCACCTGTCCTACTCGCGCCTCTGTATGCAGTTTGAACTGAAGCAATTATTGAGGCGCCTAAAAGTCGCGGCTCTGTCACCTGCTCCTCCTTTTCCCTTCTCCCGCCTCTCAACATCCCACCTCTCTCCATCTCACCTTGTTGCATTTCACCTCGTCTCGCCCTTCCTCCCACCTCGCCCTTCCTCCCACCTCGCCCTCCCCCTCTCTTCGCCCATCCGTCTCTCCATCTCGCCTTGGCGTTGCGCTGCACGGTGGACGCGAACTGGTCCGACTCACCTCCAACACCAACTACTTCACTCGCCATTCTGTAAACACCAGCACCTAATCCAGCTGCCCCTGTCAATGAATCTCACCCTCGCATTCCGCTGCACCTGTCCCTCCATCTCACCTTAGCATTGCGCTGCACGGTGGACGCGACCTGGTTTTCCCTCCTCCCCAAATTCCATCATGCCGCCTCCCTCCATCTCACCTTGGCGTTGCGCTGCACGGTGGATGCGAACTGATCCGACTCGCCGTCCACGAGCACCTGCCACTCGCGACTAGCCTCTTCTCCCTGGCCCTTTCCCTCCTCCCCAAATGCCATCATGCCATCAAGCCGCCTCCCTCCATCTCACCTTGGCATTCCTCTGCACGGTGGATGCGAACTGGTCCGACTCGCCGTCCACGAGCAGCTGCCACACGCGCGACTTGGTGTGCAGCAGCACCTGCTCGTCCCGCTCGCCCGCCGTCTCGATCTTCATCACGTCCACCAGGTTGATCTTCTTCATGCTGCTCGCCTGAGGAGGGGAAAAGACGGGCTCAGAATACGTATCTCATTAATTGGCTGGCAATGCAGCAGCACCTGCTCGTCCCGCTCCCCCGCCGTCTTAATCTTCATCACGTCCACCAGGTTGATCTTCTTCATGCTGCTCGTCTGGGGCGATGTTACAGTGTCACAGAGAGCGGTAAACAAAGGCTATCAATAGGTCCACTGTCAATCAACGGCACAACAGCCATTCGCTCGCCCGCCGTCTCGGTCTTCGTCGCGTCCACCAACTTTGATCTTCTTCACGCTGCTTGCCTGGGGTCATCGGCATCAGAGGGAGGGGTAAAAGCGCCTGGGGTCAGACAACAATTGCCTCAGAGGTGCCTCACAACCTTTTTGCTCGCCCGCCGTCTTGATCTTCATCACGTCTACCAGGTTGATCGTCTTCATGCTGCTCGCCTGACATTACCCAGCGGCGCAACATGGCGAGAACGGTGGGCCGGATGGGGAGGGGAAGGGGGGGGGGAGGGGAGGGGGATGGGGAGGGAGAGGGGAGGGGGTTGGGGAGGGGGAAAAGGGGGGATGGGAGGGGGAAAAGGGGGAAGGAGGGGAAGTAAGAGGGGCAGTAAACAAGGGCTATTTCACCATCCTTCATTAGCAAGATTGACCCCAAGTTACATCCTGTCTACGGCAATAACTCAATCAGACGTCTTCGTGCATAAATGTTCGTTATAATGCCGGCTCAGATTCGACGAACGAAGCTCGAAGTGCTTGAGGGGCCTCGCACGCGCACGAAATATTCCTTGCACCGCCTCCGTGTACGTATGAATGCGAGACTTTCCAGTGGCGTTCAGCTCACGTCTGCTCCCTGATATATCATTTCTTGTTTTGTACCAGACTACCCGTCTATTGCAACTGATTCACCATCCGTCGCGCGCGGCTGGCTCACCGTTTGTCGTTCGTGGCGAACGCCAGCGGCGACCATCTTGAATTTTGAGTTGACTTACTTTTGAGTTGACTCAAAGTCAACTCGGCTTATTGACACTCACCGTCTGTCGCTCGTGGCGAACGCCAGCGGCGACCATCTTGACAAGCGACGCGCTCCTGACTCGCAGAACGACCTCGGTATACTCGCCGCGATGGTTGCTGGCCTTCCGCACGGGAAAGTCGGTTCCTGTGTTGAAATCGAATCGAATCGAATCAAATCGAATCGCATCAGATTTACGGCACGGACACACAAGCATCACAACGCAGTCTCAGAATGGCAAAACATCAGATGCAGTGACTCGAAATACAGGGGATAAATATAATAATGGTGAACACGGCAGGTATACGGGAATTTTCACTTTCCAGGATGTTAGATCAGCGGTTGTGTGACAATACAAGTATTGGCAAACACTCGTTGCCAGTAAGAAAGATCCCTCATTATGAAATGACTTACCAATGCCATTGACTTCGTCGAGTCTGTTGTATAGAGATGTGAGAAGGATCTCTCGAGTCGAACACGCATAAGTGTGCGAGATTCCAGCTACATCGAACGAGAATTCCTGACCGTCCGACTCCGAGCAACGGAGGTTCGCGATTTGCTCGAAGGTGAAGTCTAGAATCGTCGGATTCGCGGGAGTTAGGGTTGATATAGAAATTCCTTGCTCGGATACCCTAAGCAGCCTAGATATGTTACGAGTAGGCCGGGTATGACCAGGCAGTCTGACTAAAAACACCTGGTAATCCATTATTCCTTAGTTAACGATAGATCCCTTGTCTATGCTGGCAGGGTGTACTCGAGGTGAGTAGCCATGAAAGTCGTTAAGAACGCACTATACGTGCTATATATACGGCAGGGGATCGCATAAAAAGTGTCGAATGAACACGCGTCGGATGCGCCTGATTACCTCCGAGATTACGTGTAAGAAATGCTGTACTAGTACTCACCACGAGAAACTATTTCCGACTGACTTGTGTACGGTCTGCAAGCAAACTGAATCTATTCTTGACCTGAATCTCATAAGGAACTCTCCTTTGTCAGTTGATCATCCCGATCGTTTGCGAGTTCTGACAGCGAACTTCGAAGAGCATATCGTTGCACTGGTTACCACCGCCGCGGGAACGCGAATTTGAGTTCGCGCGCTTTTTCACTCGCTTCGGTGATTGCGGAATCACCCGCGATCAGGCGGCTCACCCGCGACGGCCAAGCCATAGGGAATGCGTCACGTGTGAGGTTGAGCAGAAGGTGTCAGTCCAAACTCAGTTTATAGTGAATGCTTCGATTGCATATCACATACCAAACTAGCTGAAATGCAGAAGGCCAAAGAAAGCATATTTTTACACTTGCCCGAGACTGGAAAACTGCTATGCATTGTGTTCAGGGTTTTGGGTGAACCGCATTCTCAGTACGCGTCGGTTTCTATAGGCGGACTGAGAATGCAATTTTGTTCCTACGACAAATGGAACAAACAAAAATCTAAGGACATAGCAACAAAAGGTTTTATCTGCTAAGAACCTCCCCAACTGTTCAGCATAATATAGCCCAGGGCCAGGCTGGCGGGCCCGCACGCGCGTCACTCGCCCGCCTCGTCAGACCCCTGTCCGTCGACCCCCCTCGTCGACCCTGGCAACTCGATTCCGTCGACCTCATTCCGCTGGGATCTTCAGCTTGGTCAAGAAGCTCACCACTAACTCCTAAGAGCATCGAACTCCTACACCGGTTTGGCGCTTCCGCGGCCATTACCCACCAGTGTCCTTATGACCGCTACTGCTGCAGCTTTTGATAACGATGTTAGCATAAACACTAGCCCGACAATTTGAGCCAACTGTTGACTTCCGTGAAAGAGTTGGCATCGTATCCACTGACGTCCGTGATAATCCCAGGCTTCGCCCAGTCCACCCGGGAAGACGCGGCGCCAGGCCCCTTACTTCCTGCCTCCGCAAGGAACATGCAGCTGCCCTCGTTCCACGACAGCCAGCCGTCCTTCTCGATCGCCTGAAAGGGAATGGGGGATGGGCGGATGGGGAGTGAAGGAGGTGGGGAAGGCGGGAATGAAAGTAAGCATGAATGCACTTCCCCTTGTTTCACAACAGCCAGCCATTTGAAGGGATTAAATGGAGATGGGGAGTGACGATGCGGAGTGGGGATAGGCGGGTGGGAAGGAGGGGGGATGGTGGGTGAGTAGGTGGAACTTGTGCAGGCAGATGAAACTGGAACAGGGGATGCTTACCGCGGGGAGATTGGCGTTGATGAACACCGTGAAGGCGCATTTCTTCCACGGACGGCCCAGATACACCCTGGTAGTACCGCTGTCCGCCGCAACATTCGCATCGCGAATCACAATCCCAGTTGGCGTATCCTTGCTGCGCCCCGACGCCGTAAGAGTTCCAAAAGAGGGGCTTGGGTGAAGCTGAATCTTCGGAGCATCGATGACCACAGCCGCGTCGCCGAAAATGAAGTCCTGCGTGCCGCCGATGTAGCAATTTTTGTAGTACTGCCGTCCCGCGTCCACATACAATGTATCTTGCGATCCCTCGAACGCGCAGTTGAAAAGAGCTGATTGGTCACCAGTGGCGCGAAACGCAACTGCTTGGTGATTCTCCGGGCCTGCCGTGTTGACGAATTTTATGCCGAAAGCCACGAACCTGTCGTGCGGTTACCAGATGGTGGGTACGTGATGCAAGGGTAGGAAGAGAAAAGCAGGAAGCCGTGAGTGGAACACGAGCAGAAAGGGGTGAGAGCGAGAAGGGCAGAAAGGCGTGAGAGAGTAAGGGCAGACAGGGGTAGAGAGGGCAGAAAAGGGAAAAGGGCGGCATTACCTGTCGCTATCCACCCCAACTGTAGCCGACTCGTAGGTCCCGGACCCGCTGCCGTAACTCGCGTCGCCCGTAATAATCGTCTTATCCGCGCCTGCACCAATCAGAACGATATCAGTCGTATCAATCAACACCTGCTCCTTGTACGTTCCCGCGGGAATGTAGATCACGAATCGCGAACCGCCAGGAGCGGCATCAACGGCATCCTGGATAGACTTGTATCCCTTCCCGACGGTCGCGCTGGCCGCAAGGGACGGGCCGGCAACCATTGCGCCGGAGGACGGTGACGCCTTCTTGCTGCTGCTCTTGCTGCCGCTCTTCTTGCCGCTCTTCTTGCTGCCGCTCTTGCTGCTTTTGTTGCTGCTGCTCTTGCCGGTCTTCTTGCTACTCTTCTTGATGCCGCTGTTGCTGCCGCTCTTGCTACCGCTCTTCTTGCTGCCGCTCTTCTTGCCGCTCTTGCTGCCGCTCTTGCTGCCGCTCTTCTTGCCGCTCTTCTGCGCTCTTCTTGCCCTTCTTGCCGCTCTTCTTGCCGCTCTTCTTGCCCTTCTTGCCGCTCTTCTTGCCGCTCTTCTTGCTGCCCTTCTTGCTGCCGCTCTTCTTGCCGCCCGCTCTTCTTGCTGCCGCTCTTCTTGCTGCTGCTGCTGCTCTTGCTTGGGGACTTGCTGCTGCTGCTCTTGCTGCTGCCGCTGCTCTTCTTATTCTTCTTCTTGTTATGGCGGTGGCGGAGCTGCCTCCTCAAGATAGAACACCCTCCAAATCTCCTCCCTCCGCAACGGCAACTTCGGCATTCAGCCTCGTTTGAAGCTCCTGCAGTTGCTCGTACAAGCCCGGCTCAAGCCAATTCGGGCTGCTTGATTGAACGGCCATGCTGCGTCCACGCACAGCCACCTCATCGTCCCCGCTGGTAGCAACGGCTTTCGCGGCGGCGTTGGTGATTGAAACGAGAGCGCCAAGCGTGCTGCCCGCTTTCTTAGCAGTGTACTGCGGGAAGGAAGCGGGTTGCGGGGGAGAGGGGAGAAGGGAGAAAGAACGAATGAACCAGCGTTGCTGTTGCACCGAGCAAGATGACGTTTCCTTCGAAAAGATGCGAGAAAATGAGAGCTTCTGGAGCGCTCGAAACAGGAGTCTCTAGCGAATGGATCTGAATGCGGCCCTCTTAATTTTAATATCTGTGTTTAAGATTTTGAAATCAGGATTGTAACGAACCTCGAGATGCACGTAAGCGGGGAAGCCTTGCGCTGCGGGCGAGAAAGTCTGGAAACCGTCAACGCAGTTGTCGATCTGCGTATCGGCGGCTGCCAACCAGTACGGCACGTCGCGCAAGCGCAATGTTAGCCTGTCGCGCGCAGCTCCTCGCCATGGCGTTTATGAAATGATCGTTCCGCACGTTGCTTGACTTAATCTCGTCGGCCGCGTCGATTAGTGACGCGACTTGCGCTTGCACCGCGACAATCATGGCTGAGGTCACTTGCTCCGCCGTCTACGGCACAACGCCTAGGGATCGCCGCGCCACGCGGAACTCTGCCGCGCAGTGGGTTCCGTTGGACGACGCGATTGCAGGCGTCAGGGTGGGAGAGGACGAGATAGTTGTCCGCCATCTCGCAGCAGGAGATTATCGCCAGCGCGATGCCAAGTCCAGCGAATGCCCATATTGCAGCCCGTTTAATCGAAGAGATTTCCATCTCTCCGAATAGAATGGGCTCCCCAAGAGTCTTCTAGACTACTCGCAGGATGGAAAGGGAGAGGTAGGAAATGTTGTGTCTGAGTGATAGGCGCCGCAGCAATGCTTTAGAAAGACTGTTCGAATGATGGAGATGCGACGTAAGAACTGATCGCTGATGGTAATCAACTGATGACTCCAGATTGTCAGAACGCATATTTATGTGAGTTTCCGTAAGGAACCGCGAGGTAGGGCGTTGCGCACAAGCGGCTTAGCTAGGGGTAACTCGTTGTCGCGTCGTCATATGGGGGGGCAGTCTAATCGCGGTTCAGTCTGGTGGCTGGAGACGTCGAAGCGCGATCATGACCTATCCAGGGTGTAAGGGCGAATCGAGTGAGCACCCACGAATTTTATTTTTACAGGTGGCATTCAGTACGGCACGACTCAATAAACGAAAAACTTACGAGTTATGGGGAGGTTGAGACACTTCAGAGACCTTCAGAAAATGCGAGAGTTCGTGCTGCGGCGATACAGTATTATCAACTCGTTTTTCGGTAAACGTCTCGTCAACAGAATTTTTAAACGGCCCAGTCAATATGTTCACGCGCCCGGTGTTTCGGACACCACATCCAGAATAGTAACACCCAGCAACGCCAGGCGACTCGTGACTTCAAACTAGTGCTTGTAACAACACATTATCGGAAAGCCTCGCC